AGTTACAGTTTGTTAAACCGACATTTATAGTTGGTCAAACCGACAGTTAGAGTTGGTTAAACCGACAGTTAGAGTTGGTCGAACAGACAGTTAGAGTTGGTCAAACAGACAGAGTTGGTCAAACCGACAGTTAGAATTGTTGAAACCGATAGTTAGAGTTGATCAAACCTACAGTTAGATTTGGTCAAGCAGACAGGTAGAGTTGGTCAAATAGACATTTAGAGTTGGTCAAACAAACAGAGTTGGTCAAACCGACAGTAAGAGTTGGTCAAACCGACAGTTAGAGTTGGTCAAACAGACATTTAGAGTTGGTCAAACAAACAGAGTTGGTCCTACCGACAGAGTCGGTTAAACCGACAGAGTTGGTCAAACCGACAGTTAGAGTTGGTCAAACCGACAGTTAGAGTTGGTTAAACCGATACTTAGAGTTGGTTAAACCGACAGAGTTGGTCAAACCGACAGTTAGAGTTGGTTAAACCCACAGTTAGAGTTGGTCAAACCGACAGTTAGAGTTGGTCAAACCGATACTTAGAGTTGGTTAAACCGACAGAGTTGGTCAAACCGACAGTTAGAGTTGGTTAAACCCACAGTTAGAGTTGGTCAAACCGACAGTTAGAGTTGGTCAAACCGACAGTTAGAGTTGGTCAAACAAACAGAGTTGGTCCTACCGACAGAGTTGGTCAAACCGACAGTTAGAATTGGTCAGACAGACAGTTAGAGTGGGTCAAACAGACAGTTAAGAGTTGGTCAAACCGACAGTTAGAGTTGGTCAAACCGACAGTTAGAGATGGTCAAACCGACAGTTAGTGTTTGTCAATCCGACAGTTAGATTTGGTCAAACCGACAGTTAGAATTGTTCAGACAGACAGTTAGAGTTGGTCAAACAGACAGTTAGAGTTGGTCAAACCGACAGTTAGAGTTGGTTAAACCGACAGTTAGAGTTGGTTAAACCGACAGTTAGAGTTGGTCAAACAGACAGTTAGAATTGGTCAAACAGACAGTTAGAGTTGGTCAAACAGACTGTTAGAGTTGGTCAAACAGACAGAGTTGGTCAGACAGTTAGATTTGGTCAAACAGACAGTTAGAGTTGATCAAACAGACAGTTAGAATTGGTCAAACAGACAGTTAGAGTTGATCAGACAGCCAGTTAAGAGTCGGTCAAACAGACAGTTAGAGTTGGTCAAACCGACAGCTAGAGTTGGTTAGACAGTTAGATTTGGTCAAACAGAGAGACAGAGTTGGTCAAACAGACAGTTAGAGTTGGTCAAACAGACAGTTAAGAGTCGGTCAAACAGACAGTTAGAGATGGTCAAACAGACAGTTAGAGACGGTCAAACCCGACAGTTAGAGTTGGTCAAATAGACAGTTAGAGTTGGTCAGACAGACAGAGCTGGTCAAACAGACAGTTAGAGTTGGTCAAACTGACAGTTAGAGTTGGTCAAACCGACAGTTAGAGTTGATCAAACCGACAGTTAGAGTTGGTCAAGCAGACAGTTAGAGTTGGTCAAACAAACAGAGTTGGTCAAACCGACAGTCGGTTAAACCGACAGAGTCATTTAAACCGACAGAGTTGGTTAAACCGATAGTTAGAGTTGGTCAAGCTGACAGTTAGAGTTGTTCAAACCGACAGTGTTGGTCAAATCGACAGAGTTGGTCAAACCGACAGTTAGAGTTGGTTAAACAGACAGTTAGAGTTGGTCTAACAGACAGTTAAGAGTCAGTCAAACCAACAGCTAGAGTTGGTCTAACCGACAGCTAGAGACGGTCAAACCCGACAGTTAGAGTTGGTCAAACCGACATTTAGAGTTGGTCAAACCGACAGTTAGAGTTGGTCAAACCGACAGTTAGAGTTGGTCAAACTGACAGTTAGAGTTGGTCAAACAGACATTTAGAGTTGGTCAAACAAACAGAGTTGGTCAAACCGACAGAGTCGGTCAAACCGACAGAGTTGGTCAAACCGACAGTTAGAGTTGGTTAAACCGATAGTTAGAGTTGGTCAAGCTGACAGTTAGAGTTGGTCAAACCGACAATGTTGGTCAAACCGACAGTGTTGGTCAAACCGACAGAGTTGGTCAAACCGACAGTTAGAGTTGGTTAAACCGACAGTTAGAGTTGGTCAAACCGACAGTTAAGAGTTGGTCAAACAGACAGTTAAGAGTCGGTCAAACCAACAGCTAGAGTTGGTCAAACCGACAGTTAGAGACGGTCAAACCCGACAGTTAGAGTTGGTCAAATCGACAGTTAGAGTTGGTCAGACAGACAGTTAAGAGTTGGTCAAACCGTCTGTTAGAGTTGGTCAGACTTTTAGTTAGAGTCGGTCAAACAGACAGTTAAGAGTTGGTCAAACAGACAGTTAAGTGTTGGTCAGACAGACAATTAAGAGTTGGTCAAACAGACAGTTAATAGTTGGTCAAACAGACAGTTACAGTGGGGGAAAAAACAATTTAGTCAGCCACCAATTGCGCAAGTTCTCCCACTTAAAAAGATGAGAGAGGCCTGTAATTTTCATCATAGGTACACGTCAACTATGACAGACAAAATGAGGAAAATCACATTGTAGGATTTTTACTGAATTTATTTGCAAATTATGGTGGAAAATAAGTATTTGGTCAATAACAAAAGTTTCTCAATACTTTGTTATATACCCTTTGTTGGCAATGACACAGGTCAAACATTTTCTGTAAGTCTTCACAAGGTTTTCACACACTGTTGCTGGTATTTTGGCCCATTCCTCCATGCAGATCTCCTCTAGAGCAGTGATGTTTTGGGGCTGTTAGAGTTGGTCAAACCGACAGTTAGAGTTGGTCAACCCGATAGTTAGAGTTGATCAAACAGACAGTTAGAGTCGGTCAAACCGACAGTTAAAGTTGGTCAAACCGATAGTTAGAGTTGATCAAACAGAGAGAGTTGGTCAAACCTAGAGTTAGCGTTGGTCAAACAGATAGCTAAGAGTCGGTCAAACCGACAGCTAGAGTTGGTCAAACAGACAATTAGAGTTGGTCAAACAAACAGAGTCGGTCAGACAGATAGAGTCGGTCAAACCGACAATTAGAGTTGGTCAAACAAACAGAGTTGGTCAAACCGACAGAGTTGGTCAAACCGATAGTTAGAGTTTGATAAACCAATAGTTAGAGTTGGTCAAACCGACATAGTTGGTCAAACTGACAGTTACAGTTTGTTAAACCGACATTTATAGTTGGTCAAACCGACAGTTAGAGTTGGTTAAACCGACAGTTAGAGTTGGTCGAACAGACAGTTAGAGTTGGTCAAACAGACAGAGTTGGTCAAACCGACAGTTAGAATTGTTGAAACCGATAGTTAGAGTTGATCAAACCTACAGTTAGATTTGGTCAAGCAGACAGGTAGAGTTGGTCAAATAGACATTTAGAGTTGGTCAAACAAACAGAGTTGGTCAAACCGACAGTAAGAGTTGGTCAAACCGACAGTTAGAGTTGGTCAAACAGACATTTAGAGTTGGTCAAACAAACAGAGTTGGTCCTACCGACAGAGTCGGTTAAACCGACAGAGTTGGTCAAACCGACAGTTAGAGTTGGTCAAACCGACAGTTAGAGTTGGTTAAACCGATACTTAGAGTTGGTTAAACCGACAGAGTTGGTCAAACCGACAGTTAGAGTTGGTTAAACCCACAGTTAGAGTTGGTCAAACCGACAGTTAGAGTTGGTCAAACCGATACTTAGAGTTGGTTAAACCGACAGAGTTGGTCAAACCGACAGTTAGAGTTGGTTAAACCCACAGTTAGAGTTGGTCAAACCGACAGTTAGAGTTGGTCAAACCGACAGTTAGAGTTGGTCAAACAAACAGAGTTGGTCCTACCGACAGAGTTGGTCAAACCGACAGTTAGAATTGGTCAGACAGACAGTTAGAGTGGGTCAAACAGACAGTTAAGAGTTGGTCAAACCGACAGTTAGAGTTGGTCAAACCGACAGTTAGAGATGGTCAAACCGACAGTTAGTGTTTGTCAATCCGACAGTTAGATTTGGTCAAACCGACAGTTAGAATTGTTCAGACAGACAGTTAGAGTTGGTCAAACAGACAGTTAGAGTTGGTCAAACCGACAGTTAGAGTTGGTTAAACCGACAGTTAGAGTTGGTTAAACCGACAGTTAGAGTTGGTCAAACAGACAGTTAGAATTGGTCAAACAGACAGTTAGAGTTGGTCAAACAGACTGTTAGAGTTGGTCAAACAGACAGAGTTGGTCAGACAGTTAGATTTGGTCAAACAGACAGTTAGAGTTGATCAAACAGACAGTTAGAATTGGTCAAACAGACAGTTAGAGTTGATCAGACAGCCAGTTAAGAGTCGGTCAAACAGACAGTTAGAGTTGGTCAAACCGACAGCTAGAGTTGGTTAGACAGTTAGATTTGGTCAAACAGAGAGACAGAGTTGGTCAAACAGACAGTTAGAGTTGGTCAAACAGACAGTTAAGAGTCGGTCAAACAGACAGTTAGAGATGGTCAAACAGACAGTTAGAGACGGTCAAACCCGACAGTTAGAGTTGGTCAAATAGACAGTTAGAGTTGGTCAGACAGACAGAGCTGGTCAAACAGACAGTTAGAGTTGGTCAAACAGACAGTTAGAGTTGGTCAAACCAACAGTTAAGACTTGGTCAAACAGACAGTTAGAGTTGGTCAAACAGACAGTTAGAATTGGTCAAACAGACAGTTAGAGTTGGTCAAACAGACAGTTAGAGTTGGTCAAACAGACAGAGTTGGTCAAACAGACAGTTAGAGTTGATCAGACAGACAGTTAGAGTTGGTCAAACAGACATTTAGAGTTGGTCAAACAGACAGTTAGAGTTGGTCAAACAGACAGTTAGAGTTGGTCAAGTGTGATAATTGACTCTTGCTCTTTGGTAGTATAGGCTTTGAAAAGCTGTAAAGCCTTTTTGACAAACGGTTGATGTAAAAAGGCTGTATATAAATGTGATTGATTGATTTATTAATGTATTGAGTAAACTAATCAAAGATAGGATACATACCTAGATAGCTGTATCTGTGTGAGTCGACGTCTACTTTGTTGGGGTTGTAGAACGTGTTGGAGGACAGGTTGTAGACCTTGACTGTTCCTGTCCAATAGTATGATCCTGGAGCTCCCATAATCACCAGCTCCTGGACATAACCACAAACACACCATCACCACCAGCTCCTGACATGACCACACACCATATTGACTCCCTGTCTCTCACACAGTCGACCCAACAAAGTTACAATACAAAAAGTATAATGAATGACAAGAATGTATCTAGTCAGGAAGTAAACCAACAAACATATGAAGTTGATTGGTCAGTCAGTCCTTCATCTGATGGTCACACTAGATTTTAGAACGTCAGACGCATCCTGCTGTCACTAGATTTTAGAACGTCAGAATGTTGTCCAGCTGTCACTTCATTTTAGAATGTCAGAATGTTGTCCTCCTGCTGTCACTTGATTTTAGAATGTCAGAATGTTGTCCTGCTGTCACTTGATTTCAGAATGTCAGAATGTTGTCCTCCTGCTGTCACTTGATTTTAGAACATCAAAATGTTGTCCAGCTGTCACTTGATTTTAGAATGTCAGAATGTTGTCCTCCTGCTGTCACTTGATTTTAGAATGTCAGAATGTTGTCCTCCTGCTGTCACTTGATTTCAGAATGTCAGAATGTTGTCCTCCTGCTGTCACTTGATTTCAGAATGTCAGAATGTTGTCCTCCTGCTGTCACTTAATTTTAGAATGTCAGAATGTTGTCCTCCTGCTGTCACTTGATTTCAGAATGTCAGAATGTTGTCCTCCTGCTGTCACTTGATTTCAGAAGGTCAGAATGTTGTCCTGCTGCTGTCACTTGATTTTAGAATGTCAGAATGTTGACCTCCTGCTGTCACTTGATTTTAGAATGTCAGAATGTTGACCTCCTGCTGTCACTTGATTTTAGAATGTCAGAATGTTGTCCTGCTGTCACTTGATTTTAGAATGTCAGAATGTTGACCTCCTGCTGTTACTTGATTTTAGAATGTCAGAATGTTGTCCTCCTGCTGTCACTTGATTTTAGAATGTCAGAATGTTGACCTCCTGCTGTCACTTGATTTTAGAATGTCAGAATGTTGTCATCCAGCTCTCACTTGATTTTAGAATGTCAGAATGTTGACCTCCTGCTGTCACTTGATTTTAGAATGTCAGAATGTTGTCCTGCTGTCACTTGATTTTAGAATGTCAGAATGTTGACCTCCTGCTGTTACTTGATTTTAGAATGTCAGAATGTTGTCCTCCTGCTGTCACTTGATTTTAGAATGTCAGAATGTTGACCTCCTGCTGTCACTTGATTTTAGAATGTCAGAATGTTGTCATCCAGCTCTCACTTAATTTTAGAATGTCATAATGTTGTCCACCTGCTGTCACACATCTGTGAAATACTGGAATACTAAGAACATGAACTACAGTTCATAGACAAAAGGTTCAGAACAACAGCTGTCTATTATATCTAACATTCTTCAGATTCTGACACTATGTACAGAAACGTTGTCCAAGAGTCTTTGACAGCTCTTCACTAGTCGGTCTATTGATATTCTGCAGTGGAAAACGTGATGATCTTTTGCTCCTTTGTTCAGACAACTCCATTGTTGAGTCCAACAACCCCCCCCCCGAGCTTCTTTTAACACAATCCTGACATGCAACTTGGATGCTCATCTGTATTTCTACTCTGTGCGCATTCTTTAAACATTTTCAGCCTTGCACTATGCAAAGGTCTCATATGATGTGGATTCTCCATAGCCTGGAATCCAGACTTGCACTATGCAAAGGTCTCATATGATGTGGATTCCCCATAGCCTGGAATCCAGACGGAATACTTTCTCATCTAGACGGTCCAAGTACCTGTCTATTGAAGTGGTTTCAGACTGAATCTGTAAAGTGAAACAGAGTGATATTCAGGCTGGACGCCAGGCTAAGATTCCCCACAGGGTGCAGTTTAGATTCCAGACTAGATTCCCTACGGTATGGGGTGCAGAGTGAAATGATGGTCTGTGGTCTGAACTGATTTGAAAGAAGGACTTGGGTTCTGGGCACTATTGCTACTAGGTGATGCTGATCAGATGGGAACACTTCTCTGAGCACACAGACAGCTCAGCAATTTGAAAGACGGACTTGGTTCAGGGCTTGGAACTGCTACTGGTCTGTCAGGTAAGGTAATGGTGGTGATGTTGGTTAATTTATGTTCCAGTGTCTGATCAGAATAGAACAGAACACTGCTCTTGTCTGGGCACACAGACACACAGAGAGACAGAAAGAGAGACAGAGAGACAGAAAGAGAGACAGACAGAGATACAGAGAGACAGACAGAGAGACAGGCAGAGAGACAGACAGAGAGACAGACAGAGAGACAGACAGAGAGACAGAGACAGACAGACAGACAGACAGACAGACAGACAGACAGACAGTAGACTGTTCAGCAATTAACTTAATAAGTCAAATTACTGGATCACACTTTAATGGACTGGCAGTACTTGTATGCACTCACTAACTGTAAGTCGCTCTGAATAAGAGCGTCTGCTAAATGACTTAAATATAAAATGTAAATGTCCTTATATCACTCCATCAAAGCACAGACTCCGTACAAAGAGCATGGCTGTGTCGCAAATGGCACCATATTCCCTATATAGTGCACCAATTTTGACCAGAGAGCTATGGACCTTGGTCAGTAGTGACTATATATGGAATAGGGAGTCATTTGGGATGCAGCCATTGTGGTCAAGTGTTAAACATTTACATTTACGTCATTTAGCAGACACTCTTATCCAGAGCGACTTACAAATTGGTGCATTCAACTTAGGATAGCCAGTGGGGACAACCACTTTTTTTTTTTGGTGGGGGAGAGGGGAGGGGGGGGGGGGGGGGGGATTACTTTTATACTATTCCAGGTATTCCTTAAAGAGGTAGGGTTTCAAGTGTCTCCGGAAGGTGGTCAGTGACTCCGCTGTCCTGGCGTCGTGGGGGAGCTTGTTCCACCATTGGGGTGCCAGAGCATCGAATAGCTTTGACTGGGCTGAGCGGGAACTGTGCTTCCGTAGAGGTAGGGGGGCTAGCAGGCCAGAGGTGGATGAACGTAGTGCCCTCGTTTGGGTGTAGGGTCTGATCAGAGGTAAGGAGGTGCCGTTCCCCTCAAGGCTCCGTAGGCAAGCACCATGGTCTTGTAGTAGATGCAAGCCTCAACTGGAAGCCAGTGGAGTGTGCGGAGGAGTGGGGTGACATGAGACCATGTGAGCCTAACCACACTCCAGGTCAGGAGATGTTAACAAGCTAATGTAACTTAGTAACTCACTGTGAGCATGTGAGCCTAACCACACTCCAGTATTTAATTATCTGAAGAAAACACATCTTGTGCAAATAGCCTGGTGTCACGCCCTGACTCTGGGGACTCTTATTTGTTGAGTCAGGGTGTGTATTTTCTATGTGGTGTAGATCTATGTTATTGTCTAGTATGTCTAGATCTATGTTGGTCGGTGTGGTTCCCAATCAGAGGCAGCTGTCGCTCGTTGTCTCTGATTGGGGACCATACTTAGGCAGCCTATTGGCACTAGTGGGTGGTGGGATCTTGTTCCGTGTGAGGTATGTTGTTTGTGTACCTTGGACTTCACATTTCGTTTAGTTTATTGTTTTGTTGTTGTTTATTTGGTTCAAATAAACATGTATGCATATCACGCTGCGCCTTGGTCTGACCCGTTTATGAACGAACGTGACAGAAGATCCCACCAAACGAGGACCAAGCAGCGTGCCCAGGCGGAGCGAAGGGCCATGTCACAGGTGGGCAAATTGTGGTCATGGGAAGAGATATTTGCGGGGAAAGGACCATGGGCTAAGGTAGATGCCCAGGCAGGAGAGGAGCAACGGCAACACGGAGGAGGCCGGTCAAGGAAAAAGCCAGAGAGGCAGCCCCAATAAAACAAATTGGGGGGGGCACACGGGGTGGTTGGCGGAGCCTAGGGTTAGAGCAGAGCCAACTCCCCGTACTCACGCGAGAAGGCGTATGACTGGGCAAGCTCCGTGTTATGCGGAGCTACGTACTGTGTTGCCAGTGCGCCGGCACAGTCCTGTACGTCCTGTGCTTGCACCACGCACGTGCCGTGCGAAGATGGGCATCCAGCCAGGACGGGGTGTGCCGGCTCAACGCTCCTGGTCTCCAGTACGCCTCCTCGGTCCTGCATATCCTGCGGCAGTTCTACGAGCTGTATCGCAGGGTACGCGTGCACAGCCCAGTGCGCACGTGTAGTGCGAAAGTGGGCAGCCAGCCAGGACGGGTTGTGCCAGCTCTCCGCTCCAGACCTCCAGTCCGCCTTCGTAGTCCGGTCCGGCCCGTTCCTGTACCTCGCACCAAGCCAGTGGTGCGCGTCGCCAGCCCGGCCCGGCCTGTTCCTGTCCCTCGCACCAAGCCAGTGGTGCGTGTCGCCAGTCCGGCCCGGCCTGTTCCTGCTCCTCGCACCAAGCCAGTGGTGCATGTTCCTAGTCCAGTTCGGCCCGTGCCTGCTCCTCGCACCAGACCAGTGGTGAGTGAGTCCAGTCCGGCACGGCCCGTGCCCGTTCCACCGGTGCCTTGTCTGGTACCAGTCAGCAGCTCCAGTCCGGAGCCAGAGTAGTCCGCTCCACCAGTGCCTGATCCAGCTCCGGTCAGCTGCTCCAGTCCGGAGCCAGAGCAGTCCGCTCCACTGGTGCCTGATCCAGCTCTGGTCAGCTGCTCCACTCCGGAGCCAGAGCAGTCCACTCCACCGGGGTCCAGTCCAGCTCCGGTCAGCGGCTCCACTCCGGAGCCAGAGCAGTCCGCTCCACCGGTGCCTGATCCAGCTCCGGTCAGCGGCTCCACTCCGGAGCCAGAGCAGTCCGCTCCACCGGGGTCCAGTCCAGATCCGGTCAGCGGCTCCAGTCCGGAGCCTGAGCAGTCCGCTCCACCGGTGCCGTCCAGCTCCGGTCAGCGGCTCCAGTCCAGACCCAGACGTCAGCCCCTCTCCAGGTTCGGGGTCTCCCACACCAGGGTCCAGACAGGGCTTGGAGTATAGTGGGAGGAAGGAGAGGGGAAGCAGCACGCCGAGGTCCAGACCAGACCAGGGGCGCAACAGGGAGGCGGAGAATAGGTGGTTGTCACGCCCGGAGCCGGATCCGCCTCCGAGGCGGAATGCCCACCCGGCCCCTACCCTGTTAAGTAAAGGTTGTGCGGTCGGAGTCCGCACCTTTGGGGGGGGGGGGGGGGGGGGGGGTACTGTCACGCCCTGACTCTGGGGACTCTTATTTGTTGAGTCAGGGTGTGTATTTTCTATGTGGTGTAGATCTATGTTATTGTCTTGTATGTCTAGATCTATGTTGGCCGGTGTGGTTCCCATTCAGAGGCAGCTGTCGCTCGTTGTCTCTGATTGGGGACCATACTTAGGCAGCCTATTGGCACTAGTGGGTTGTGGGATCTTGTTCCGTGTGAGGTATGTTGTTTGTGTACCTTGGACTTCACGTTTCGTTTCGTTTATTGTTTTGTTGTTGTTTATTCGGTTCAAATAAACATGTATGCATATCACGCTGCGCCTTGGTCTGACCCGTTCATCAACGTACGTGACACCTGGAGAAATCAGACTGAGGAAAAGGATGTGTGAATGGAAGAACATAGGGTTTGACTGGGCTCCCGAGTGGCGCAGCGGTCTAAGGCACTGCATCTCAGTGCTTGAGGCATCACTACAGATCCCCTGGTTCGATTCCAGGCTGTATCACAACCGGCCGTGATTGGGAGTCCCATAGGGCGGCGCACAATTGGCCCAGCGTCGTCCGGGTTTGGCCGGTGTAGGCCGTCATTGTAAATAAGAATTTGTTCTTAACGGACTTGCCTAGTTAAATAAAGGTACAATAAAAATACAGATAGCCATGTTTCTGCTGTTAAGGCAAAATACATTTTGATTTCCTTCTGATCCTATCCCTTTATGGGAGGAACAAGGCCTAGAGTGTATCAGAGAGGTTAAGTCTGGTAAATTCTCATTCACTCACTATATTGGAGTAATACCGGGCAGATCGTGTGATGACCTTTATCCAAAGCTGACGTTGAAGGCTGCTGATAGCCCAGCCTTGAAAACAGAACCCAAACAGAAGAATAGCAGCTTCATAGCAGTATGACTGTCGTCTGTAGGTGTGTCTGGGTGTGTGTGTCTGGTGTGTGTGTGTGTGTGTGTGTGTCTGGTGTGTGTGTGTGTGTGTGTCTGGTGTGTGTGTCTGGTGTGTGTGTGTGTGTCTGTGTCTGGTGTGTGTGTTTGGTGTGTGTGTGTCTGGTGTGTCTGGTGTGTGTGTGTCTGGTGTGTGTGTGTGTCTGGTGTGTGTGTGTGTGTGTGTGCTCATGTGTTTTCTCTACCATTAAAAGCTATCCCAAACTGAAAGAGCAGCCTCCAAACAGCCCTTGATAACAGCAGCCCCACAGAGCAGTACCATGTATTAGAAGAGGAGACTGCTACTGACCTCAGTAAAAACGCCTGCCATCCCCGCTTGGCACGAGCCGTGCTCTTCCCCATACTTCTGCTTATAGTCTGCAAAGAAAAACAAACCACGGATGATTTGGCTGTGTACCTGAGCCATTTATACTCCACTTCTCCCTGCATTCCATATAGAGCTAGTCAAAGTCTTCAGCGCCGGCCAAGTAAGAATCTGGGAGAAGAAAGTTCGCCTTTGTCCCACATGGCACCCTATTCCCTATATAGTGCACTACTTTTGACCAGAGCCCTATGGGTCCTGGTCTAAAGTAGTGCACTATGTAGGGGATAGGGTGCCATTTGGAACGCAGATAAACTACAGAGTAAGGCCACGTTCAACAAAAACTCAAACTTGGGGGGACACTGCCTCTTGGGGACACACACTCTGCCTCTATGGGGGGGGGGGGGGGGGGGGGGGGACGACGACACTGCCTCTTGGAGGGGGAACTCTGCCTCTATGGGGGGGGGGGGGGGGGGGGGGGGGGGGGGCAATCTATGGGGACGACGACACTCTCTTGTTAAAGAACAATATTGGGCTTGGATTTGTAAGAATCACATGGCCCCATGTGAGGCCTAGCTGAACTGTGTATGTGGGTTTATGTGTGTTTGTGTGTGTGTGTGTTTGTGTTTCTGTGTGTTTCTGTGTGTCTGAGTGTGTGTGTTTCTGTGTGTGTGTGTGTGTGTTTCTGTGTGTGTGTGTGTTTCTGTGTGTGTGTGTGTGTGTGTTTCTGTCTGTGTGTGTGTGTGTGTTTCTATCTGTGTGTGTGTGTTTCTGTGTATGTGTGTTTCTGTGTGTGTGTGTGTGTGTGTGTAGCTGCTTGGCAGGAGTGGCTCCGTGTGATTGGCGGCAAATGCAGAAAGGAAGAAAGTAAAACATCTCAACCTGCGAGCCAAATAAAGGCCTGCCTTCCTTTGAAAAAGAAACTTGCTGAATCAAAACAAATCATTTCATTAAATCATGGTCTGACTTCCAAATGGCACCCTATTCCCTATATAGTGCTCTACTTTTGGTCCCGACCCATAGGGCCCTGGTCAAAAGTAGTGCACTATATAGGGAATAGGGTGCCATTTCGGATGCAGTTCAAAATACTTGTACAGGACATGCTAGGTAAATGCTTTTCTATAGATACTTTTCAAACCACCTTCATTGTGTTAAAATGTACAAGGCCTATACATTACTTTGAGGGCAGAGAAACCTGACTGTTGACCAATTTAAACAGTAAGGCATATGGATTTGATTGATCATAATCTGTATCCCTCCTAACACATGGTAAAAGAGGGTGGTCCCAGGCTGTACCTCCTAACATCGTAAAATAGGGAAGTAGGTAACGGATACCCTATTGTATCTGGGCCCCTATTCACAAAGGGTCTTAGAGTAGGAGTGCTGAACTAGGATCAGTTCTGCATTTTAGATAATAATGAATATCCAAGATCACCACTCCTACCACTCCTTCTTTAAGACGCTATGTGAAAATTGGCCCCAGTCTGCCTCTTGCTACCAGGCCGTCATTATAAATATGAATATTGTTCCTGACTCGACTGGCTAAAAAAAGTTTCATAAATTCATAAATTCCGCAAATATTCTTGAAAAACACCAGGCCAACACAGCTTCCTCCATGTCTCCCACCTCTTAATCTAACTGTTTCCTAAAGAAAACATTTCAGAAGGAATCAAGGGTGAAATTGGGGTGTAGATATTGGAGGGGATTAGGAATTGCATTTCTTGCAATTCTACATAGTTTGACATGACTTACTATGCCTCTCTTGAGGGGTGTTTGGATGGAGGGGTATTTTGAAACGTGTGCAGTTTTATAATTCTATTCTACACATTTTGTCGTGAGCCAGAGAAAATGTTGCAGTTTTATAATGCTATTCTACACATTTTGTCATGAGTCAGAGAAAATGTTGCAGTTTTATAATGCTATTCTACACATTTTGTCATGAGTCAGAGAAAATGTTGCAGTTTTAAAGCACATTTTCTGCAATTCTACACATTTTGCCATGGGACAGAGAGAAACATTTGTTGTTTTAAAGCTCATCTCATGCTATTCTTCACATTTTGCCATGAGTATGAGAAAACATTTAGCAGTTTTAAAGCTAATTTCTTGCTACTCTACACATTTTGCCATGAGGCTGAGAGAAAATATTGTAGTTTTAAAGTAAATAGTTAGGGGAATATCTCACTTTTAAAAGTTAATATTCTGTTAACTCAAACCCAAATAATGCTGTTGACTCATCCTATACTCGTATTTGTGGCCAAAGCATAAATTGGAGAGAGAAAAAAACTCATCAAAAACCCCATCTCAAACAGAACATTTAACAAATGCATGCTATTTCCTCATAAATGATTATGTCATCCTCCTGAGGAGGATGAGCTGGCCAATCAGCAGTCTACTTGCATTTATATATTTTTATTGACCGGTATATGCCCACCCCATTCCAACACAGAAAAGCTGCTTTTTAACATTAATTAATTATTTTAATTATAGGTCATATTTCATAGAAATCTGGAATCACTGGACAGTTGATTTTGGGCCAAAACGCACAAATAACGGCTTTAAACTGTATAACTGATCAATGCACCATCATACCAGGTCAATTCTTGCTTAAAAACCAAACAAATTGATGACTAAGATATTTGGCTATAGAAGTGCCATTTCTTACTGATCTCTACAGCTTCCATCCAATACTGATCTCTACAGCTTCCATCCAATACTGATCTCTACAGCTTCCATCCAATACTGATCTCTACAGCTTCCATCCAATACAGATCTCTACAGCTTCCATCCAATACAGATCTCTACAGCTTCCATCCAATACAGATCTCTACAGCTTCCATCCAATACAGATCTCTACAGCTTCCATCCAATACAGATCTCTACAGCTTCCATCCAATCTGGTGAAATGACGTCAACACATACTAGAGGAGTTACTGGCTAGCATCAAATAGCTATGTTCCCCCATCCCGTGGCAATTTCGCCTATGGAGGGAATATACATTCCTACATCTCTACCTTACTTGGCTGGACCTAAACACTAGCTAGGTTTCAATCCAATTGGCTACAGATTTTCATGCGAATACAAAAATCTGCATAAAAACAATATATTCCCACCAGAGATGTTTCCATCAAATTGACGTGTTGCAGATAAAAGACTGCGTGATGACGTAGTGCACATAAAAATATATTTTGCGGTTAAATTCCCACTTACCAAATATAATTCACAAGTTAAATAGGTTTCCATCGCATTTCCAATATTATTTTTATTTGTCAAACGGCAGCCAAGCATCGATCATCATGTCACCAGAATAAACCCTAGATATTTATTGGAAAGGAGCATCAAGCTCATCACCTTGCACTTTTACCACCCTGTGAAGTTCATCATAACTTATTTCCTCTGTAGCCTAATAAACTGCATGCTTTCCTGAGTCGTAGTGGGAGGACCTCACAATATCATTGTGTGACTTCAAGTGTACTTCGATATCATGGTTATTATATCAATATTTGCGCATAAAAGCGTACGACATTTCTCGCATATTTCATTTTACAGACACAAAAAGATTCCACCTTGTCTAGCGTATTTTGTTTTGTCGACATTTGGAAAGTTCACAGAAAAATGTTCTGTTTCCATCAGGCCTGTTGTCATGACATTTTTTATCCGATATGTACTTTGGATGGAAACCTGGTTAGTGTGTGGAATATTCTATCCTTTAGCAGCATAGCGAAGTGTGAATGTGTGTGTGTGTTTATGTGCGTGTGTGTGTAATATTCTATCCTTTAGCAGCATAGCGAAGTGTGAATGTGTGTGTGTTTATGTGCGTGTGTGTGTAATATTCTATCCTTTAGCAGCATAGCGAAGTGTGAATGTGTGTGTGTTTATGTGCGTGTGTGTGTAATATTCTATCCTTTAGCAGCGTAGCGAAGTGTGAATGTGTGTGTGTTTATGTGCGTGTGTGTGTAATATTCTATCCTTTAGCAGCATAGCGAAGTGTGAATGTGTGTGTGTTTATGTGCGTGTGTGTGTAATATTCTATCCTTTAGCAGCGTAGCGAAGTGTGAATGTGTGTGTGTTTATGTGCGTGTGTGTGTAATATTCTATCCTTTAGCAGCATAGCGAAGTGTGAATGTGTGTGTGTTTATGTGCGTGTGTGTGTAATATTCTATCCTTTAGCAGCATAGTGTGTGTCCGTGGAAGCTCCAGGTGTTGGGTCCTGCCAGACTGAGCTCATATTTCTCTCTTGAGTTGGTTTGAGAGAGAACACTTCAAGGCTCTTAGCTAGTCCTTTAAAGCCAGGATGTCAGTCAGTGGTCTGGTGTGTGTGTCTGTGTGTGTGTGTGTGTGTGTGTGCACATGCATGCGTGTAAGTCTATAACTCATTGTGAGACCTGGAGAGAACGTGTGCCATGATAAACTCCCTGCACTGTCTAACCCGGGCCGAGGGTATACACAACATAAACACACACACACACACAGACACAGGTTAAACACACAAACCCTCTCCACCTCATCCTCATTATAAACTCAGTAAACTTCAGTCTGTGTCTTCATGGAAAGTTACTGTGCAGTAACCATTACATTACTGTCTGTCTGTATGCAGCCATTGTCCAGTGCCTTCAGAAAGTATTCACACCCCTTGACTTTTTTGTGTTACAAAGTGGGATTAAAATGGATTTAATTGTCAATGATCTACACAACATAATCTGTAATGTCAAAGTAGAAGAAAAATTCTAACAGTTGTAAAATAATTGTATGAAAAATAAAACACTAATATATCTTGATTAGATAAGTATTCAACCCCCTGAGTCAATACATGCTAGAATCACCTTTGGCAGCAATTACAGCTGTGGGTCTTTCTGGGTAAGTCTCTAAGAGCTTTGCACACCTGGATTGTGCAATATTTGCACATTATTCTTTTTAAAATTCTTCAAGCTCTGTCAAGTTGGTTGTTGATCATTGCTAAACAGCCATTTTCAAGTCATGCCATAGGTTTTCAAGCTGATTTAAGTCAAAACTGTAACTAGGCCACTCAGGAACATTTAATGTTGTCTTGGTAAGCAACTCCAGTGTACAGTGCATTCGGGAAGGGTTCAGACTCTTTCACTTTTCCCACGTTTGATTACGTTATTAAGCCCTATTCTAAAAAAAATTCTCACCTATCTACACACAATACACCATAATGACAAAGCGAAAACACGTTTTTAGACATTTGTGCACATTTATTAAAACAGAAAAACATTATTTACATAAGTATTCAGAACCTTTGCAATGAGACTTGAAATTGAGCTCAGGTGCATCCTGTTTCCATTGATCATCCTTGAGATGTTTCTACAACTTGATTGGAGTCCACCTGTGGTAAATTCAATTGATTGGACATGATTTGGAAAGGCACACACCTGTCTATATAAGGTCCCACAGCTGACAGTGCATGTCAGAGCAAAAAACAAGCCATGAGGTCGAAGGAATTGTCCGTAGAGCTCAGAGACAGGATTGTGTCGAGGCACAGATCTGGGGAAGGGTACCAACACATTTTTGCCGCATTGAAGGACCCCAAGAACACAGTGGCCTCCCTCATTATTAAATGGAAGAAGTTTGGAACCACCAAGACTCTATCTAGAGCTGGCCGCCTGGCCAAACTGAGCAATCGAGGGAGAAGGGCCTTGGTCAGGGAGGTGACCAAGAACCCGATGGTCACTCTGACAGCGCTCCTGAGTTCCTCTGTGGAGATGGGAGAACTTTCCAGAAGGACAACCATCTCTGCAGCACTCCACCAATCAGGCAATTTATGGTAAAGTGGCCATATGGAAGCCACTCCTCACTAAAAGGCACATGACCGCCCGCTTGGAGTTCGCCAAAAGGCACCTAAAGACTCTCAGACCATGAGAAACAAGATTCTCTGGTCTGATGAAACCAAGATTGAACTCTTTGGCCTGAATGTCAAGCGTCACGTCTGGAGGAAACCTGGCACCATCCCTACGGTGAAGCATGGTGGTGGCAGCATCATGCTGTGGGGATGTTTTTCAGCGGCAGGGACTGGGAGACTAGTCAGGATTGAGGGAAAGATGAAAGGAGCAAAGTACAGAGAGATCCTTGATGAAAACCTTCTCCAGAGCGTTCAGGACCTCAGACTGGGGTGAAGGTTCATCTTCCAAAAGGACAATGACCCTAAGCACACAGCCAAGACAACGCAGGAGTGGCTTCGGGACAAGTCTCTGAATGTCCTTGAGTGGCCCAGCCAGAGCTCGGACTTGAACCCGATCTAACATCTCTGGAGAGACCTGAAAATAGCTGTGCAGCGACGCTCCCCATCCAACCTGACAGAGCTTGAGAGGATCTGCAGAGAAGAATGGGAGAAACTCCCCAAATACAGGTGTGCCAAGCTTGTAGCGTCATACCCAAGAAGACTTGGGGCTGTAATCGCTGCCAAAGTACTGAGTAAAGGGTCTGAATACTTATGTAAATGTAATATTTCCGGTTTTTATTTGTAATACATTTGCAAACATTTCTAAAAACCAGTTTTTGCTTTGTCATTATGGGGTATCGTGTGTAGATTGATGAGGGGGAAAAAAATAATTTAATCTGTTTAAGAATAAGGCTGTAACGTAACAAAATGTGGAAAAAGTGAAGGGGTCTGAATACTTTCCGAATGCACTCTATTTTAGACCTTGTGTTTTAGGTTATTATTCTGCTGAAAGGTTGTCTCCAGCGTCTGTTGAAAAGCAGACTGAACCAGGTTTCCCTCTAGGATTTTGCCTGTGCTTAGCTCTATTCTGTTTATTTTTATCATAAACTCTCTAGTCCTTGCCAATGACAAACATACCGATAAAATGATGCAGCCACCACCATGCTTGAAAATATGGAGAGTGGTACTCAGTAGCCCCAAACATAACACTTTGTATTCAGGACAAAAGTTAATTTCTTTGCTACATTTTTTGGCAGTTTTACTTTCGTGCTTTATTGCAAACAGGATGCATGTTTTGGAATATTTTTATTCTGTACAGGCTTCCTTCTCATTTAGGTTGGTATTGTGGAGTAACTACAATGTTGTTTATCCATCCTCAGTTTTCTCCTATCACAGCCATTAAACTATGTAACTGTTTTAAAGTCACCATTGGCCTCATGGTGAAATCCCTGAGCGGTTTCCTTCCTCTCCGGCAACTGAGTTAGGTAGTGACTGGGTGTATTGATACACCATCCAAAATAACTTCACCATGCTCCCAAGGGATATTCAATATCTGCTTTTTTTATTTATACCCGTCGACAGATCTCCCATCAAGTCAAATCGGGGACCCGAACCAGCGACCTATCGGCCACCGGCCCAAGCTCCCAACCACCAGGCCACCAACCATCCAAGATCCCCCCACAGTTCCCAGAGAGCTGCCCCTCAACCATCCGAGATGCCCCCCACAGTCCCCGCCCCCGGAAAAAACCTCTCCCTCCACTCCCCAGCCCCAAGCCACTGCTCGACTGAGGGACCTTACAGATAAATTCAGGCTGTAACACAACAAACCGTAGAAAAAGTCAAAGGGTTCTGAAGATACTATAGTTAACCAAAAAGGACATGTTTCTACATTATTTGATCTAATCCTGAAGTATAAAGCTGTGTTTCTCAACCTTGGGTACTAGTATCCATCAGAGTAAGTGGCTTATAAAGGGGGTACTTTGGAAAACTCAGGAGAAAATAGACCTAATGATCAGTCGTTCATGAGGGGGTACTTCAGGCAGAGCGAAATATAATTAGGGGTACAGTAACAAAAAAAGATTGAGAACATTACCGTACCTTCATACCAGGTTGATGAGGGCTGGGGTCCTGCCCTGTAGAGTTGGTTGGTGTGTGTGTGTGTGTGTTTGTGTGTACTACTGTACCTTCGTAGCAGGGGATGAGGGCTTGGGTCCGGCCCTGTAGCGTAGGAGGGATGATGGAACAGTAACCATGGGGTAGGATATGCTCAGAGTCATAGAAGACATTCTTCCAACGGTGGGCACAGGCCTGCATCAGACACATGAGGAGAGGCACAGTCAGAACACAGAGACAGACACACAGACACTAACAGACAGAGAGACGTGGCGTCTATCTCAGGTGTGACTGGATCTGCTGGCCTATTCTGAGATAACAGAGCAGAAAGGACAGATGAAAGGACAGACAGACGGCAGGACAGACAGACAAGAGGACGCACACGCGCACACCCACTCCATCAAACCCCCACACACTTTAACCAATGATGTCCATCCAAAAACACTTGAAGAGACACAATTAAATATTGTTAATTATATCATACGGATTAATTTACTCAATAAACATAACACTTCTTATTTAACTTGATATCCACAAATAAGACAGGACAGACTGTGTATTATGAGAGCTGGAGTCCGTGTGGATGCATCCCAAATGGCAGCCCTATGGGCCCTGGTCAACAGTACTGCACTATATCGAATAGGGTTCCACTTGGGAAGCAGCCACTGTCTCTGTAGCTGCCAAATTAACTGTTCTGAGAGAAGGGGGATGAAAGCACAGCCACCTGTGACCATTATGGCCCTGTGGTGTGAATATCTGACGGCCCTCATCACATTGGTCTGTGGTGTGAATATCTGACGGCCCTCATCACATTGGTCTGTGGTGTGAATATCTGACGGCCCTCATCACATTGGTCTGTGGTGTGAATATCTGACGGCCCTCATCACATTGGTCTGTGGTGTGAATATCTGACGGCCCTCATCACATTGGTCTGTGGTGTGAATATCTGACGGCCCTCATCACATTGGTCTGTGGTGTGAATATCCAAACATCAGCTTAAGAACAACCCCTGCTTCCAAAACAGCAATTTTCTATGTGGTGGGAGGAGAGCCTAACTCCTAGTTAGACCTAACTCCTAACACTGTCATATTTACATTTTACTTACTTCCTAGGTCTCTTTTCATACTATTGAACCAAACTGCAACTATGATGGATGTGTAACCAGGCCAGTTCAGTGCAGCTTGGTTCAAGCTAGCTAAAGAACATCCCTGCTTCCAAAATAACAGTTCTCATAATATGTTCATACTAACATCCTGGGTTCCTAACAGTTCTCATAATGTTCATAATAACATCCTGGGTTCCTAACAGTTCTCATAATGTTCATAATAACATCCTGGGTTCCTAACAGTTCTCATAATGTTCATAATAACATCCTGGGTTCCTAACAGTTCTCATAATAACATCCTGAGTTCCTTCCTAGTACTCGTTTCACACTGCTGTCCAGAACCAAACTTCATAGGCAGGGGTATTTCTTCTTTACACATGTCATTTTCAGCACAGTTCCAGCACCTGCAGTGGATGCATAACCAGGCCAGCTCAGTACAGCTTGGTTCGGCTCAGTTCAGTATTGTGAAAAGCCTTTAACAGTTCTCTACTGTAATGCTCCTCAACTGAGTTCTAACAGTTCTCTACTGTAATGCCCCTCAACTGGGTTATAACAGTTCTCTACTGTAATGCCCCTCAACTGGGTTCTAACAGTTCTCTACTGTAATAACTGAGTTCTAACAGTTCTCTACTGTAATACCCCTCAACTGAGTTCTAACAGTTCTCTACTGTAATGCCCCTCAACTGGGTTCTAACAGTTCTCTACTGTAATAACTGAGTTCTAACAGTTCTCTACTGTAATGCCCCTCAACTGAGTTCTAACAGTACTCTACTGTAATGCCACTCAACTGAGTTCTAACAGTTCTCTACTGTAATAACTGAGTTCTAACAGTTCTCTACTGTAATACCCCTCAACTGAGTTCTAACAGTACTCTACTGTAATGCCACTCAACTGAGTTCTAACAGTACTCTACTGTAATGCCACTCAACTGAGTTCTAACAGTACTCTACTGTAATACCCCTCAACTGAGTTCTAACAGTACTCTACTGTAATGCCACTCAACTGAGTTCTAACAGTACTCTACTGTAATACCCCTCAACTGAGTTCTAACAGTTCTCTACTGTAATGCCCCTCAACTGAGTTCTAACAGTACTCTACTGTAATGCCACTCAACTGAGTTCTAATAGTTCTCTACTGTAATAACTGAGTTCTAACAGTTCTCTACTGTAATGCCCCTTAACTGAGTTCTAACAGTTCTCTACTGTAATGCCCCTCAACTGAGTTCTAACAGTTCTCTACTGTAATGCCCCTCTACTGAGTTCTAACAGTTCTCTACTGTAATGCCCCTCAACTGAGTTCTAACAGTTATCTACTGTAATAACTGAGGTCTAACAGTTCTCTACTGTAATGCCACTCAACTGAATTCTAACAGTTCTCTACTGTAATAACTGAGTTCTAACAGTTCTCTACTGTAATAACTGAGTTCTAACAGTTCTCTACTGTAATGCCCCTTAACTGAGTTCTAACAGTTCTCTACTGTAATGCCCCTCAACTGAGTTCTAACAGTTCTCTACTGTAATGCCCCTCTACTGAGTTCTAACAGTTCTCTACTGTAATGCCCCTCAACTGAGTTCTAACAGTTCTCTACTGTAATGCCCCTCAACTGAGTTCTAACAGTTATCTACTGTAATAACTGAGGTCTAACAGTTCTCTACTGTAATGCCCCTCAACTGAGTTCTAACAGTTATCTACTGTAATAACTGAGGTCTAACAGTTCTCTACTGTAATGCCACTCAACTGAATTCTAACAGTTCTCTACTGTAATAACTGAGTTCTAACAGTTCTCTACTGTAATAACTGAGTTCTAACAGTTATCTACTGTAATAACTGAGGTCTAACAGTTCTCTACTGTAATGCCACTCAACTGAATTCTAACAGTTCTCTACTGTAAAAACTGCGTTCTAACAGTTCTCTACTGTAATGCCCCTCAACTGAGTTCTAACAGTTATCTACTGTAATAACTGAGGTCTAACAGTTCTTTACTGTAATGCCACTCAACTGAATTCTAACAGTTCTCTACTGTAATAACTGAGTTCTAACAGTTCTCTACTGTAATAACTGAGTTCTAACAGTTCTCTACTGTAATAACTGAGTTCTAACAGTTCTGTACTGTAATGCTCCTCAACTGAGTTCTAACAGTTCTCTACTGTAATGCTCCTCAACTGAGTTCTAACAGTTCTCTACTTTAATGCCCCTCAACTGAGTTCTAACAGTTATCTACTGTAATAACTGAGTTCTAACAGTTCTGTACTGTAATGCTCCTCAACTGAGTTCTAACAGTTCTGTACTGTAATGCCCCTCAACTGGGTTCTAACAGTTCTCTACTGTAATGCCCCTCTACTGAGTTCTAACTGTTCTCTACTGTAATAACTGCGTTCTAACAGTTTTCTACTGTAATGCCCCTCAACTGAGTTCAAACAGTTCTCTACTGTAATAACTGAGTTCTAACAGTTCTCTACTGTAATGCCCCTCTACTGAGTTCTAACAGTTCTCTACTGTAATGCCCCTCTACTGAGTTCTAACTGTTCTCTACTGTAATAACTGAGTTCTAACAGTTCTCTACTGTAATGCCCCTCAACTGAGTTCTAACTGTTCTCTACTGTAATAACTGCGTTCTAACAGTTCTCTACTGTAATGCCCCTCAACTGAGTTCTAACAGTTCTCTACTGTAATAACTGAGTTCTAACAGTTCTCTACTGTAATGCCCCTCTACTGAGTTCTAACTGTTCTCTACTGTAATAACTGAGTTCTAACAGTTCTCTACTGTAATGCCCCTCTACTGAGTTCTAACTGTTCTCTACTGTAATAACTGAGTTATAACAGTTCTCTACTGTAATGCCCCTCAACTGAGTTCTAACAGTTCTCTACTGTAATGCCCCTCTACTGAGTTCTAACAGTTCTCTACTGTAATAACTGAGTTCTAACAGTTCTCTACTGTAATAACTGAGTTCTAACAGTTCTCTACTGTAATGCCCCTTAACTGAGTTCTAACAGTTCTCTACTGTAATGCCCCTCAACTGAGTTCTAACAGTTCTCTACTGTAATGCCCCTCTACTGAGTTCTAACAGTTCTCTACTGTAATGCCCCTCAACTGAGTTCTAACAGTTCTCTACTGTAATGCCCCTCAACTGAGTTCTAACAGTTATCTACTGTAATAACTGAGGTCTAACAGTTCTCTACTGTAATGCCCCTCAACTGAGTTCTAACAGTTATCTACTGTAATAACTGAGGTCTAACAGTTCTCTACTGTAATGCCACTCAACTGAATTCTAACAGTTCTCTACTGTAATAACTGAGTTCTAACAGTTCTCTACTGTAATAACTGAGTTCTAACAGTTATCTACTGTAATAACTGAGGTCTAACAGTTCTCTACTGTAATGCCACTCAACTGAATTCTAACAGTTCTCTACTGTAAAAACTGCGTTCTAACAGTTCTCTACTGTAATGCCCCTCAACTGAGTTCTAACAGTTATCTACTGTAATAACTGAGGTCTAACAGTTCTTTACTGTAATGCCACTCAACTGAATTCTAACAGTTCTCTACTGTAATAACTGAGTTCTAACAGTTCTCTACTGTAATAACTGAGTTCTAACAGTTCTCTACTGTAATAACTGAGTTCTAACAGTTCTGTACTGTAATGCTCCTCAACTGAGTTCTAACAGTTCTCTACTGTAATGCTCCTCAACTGAGTTCTAACAGTTCTCTACTTTAATGCCCCTCAACTGAGTTCTAACAGTTATCTACTGTAATAACTGAGTTCTAACAGTTCTCTACTGTAATGCCCCTCAACTGGGTTCTAACAGTTCTCTACTGTAATGCCCCTCTACTGAGTTCTAACTGTTCTCTACTGTAATAACTGCGTTCTAACAGTTCTCTACTGTAATGCCCCTCAACTGAGTTCAAACAGTCCTCTACTGTAATAACTGAGTTCTAACAGTTCTCTACTGTAATGCCCCTCTACTGAGTTCTAACAGTTCTCTACTGTAATGCCCCTCTACTGAGTTCTAACTGTTCTCTACTGTAATAACTGAGTTCTAACAGTTCTCTACTGTAATGCCCCTCAACTGAGTTCTAACTGTTCTCTACTGTAATAACTGCGTTCTAACAGTTCTCTACTGTAATGCCCCTCAACTGAGTTCTAACAGTTCTCTACTGTAATAACTGAGTTCTAACAGTTCTCTACTGTAATGCCCCTCTACTGAGTTCTAACTGTTCTCTACTGTAATAACTGAGTTCTAACAGTTCTCTACTGTAATGCCCCTCTACTGAGTTCTAACTGTTCACTACTGTAATAACTGAGTTCTAACAGTTCTCTACTGTAATGCCCCTCAACTGAGTTCTAACAGTTCTCTACTGTAATGCCCCTCTACTGAGTTCTAACAGTTCTCTACTGTAATAACTGAGTTCTAACAGTTCTCTACTGTAATAACTAAGTTCTAACAGTTCTCTACTGTAATAACTGAGTTCTAACAGTTCTCTACTGTAATAACTGAGTCTAACAGTTATCTACTGTAATAACTGAGTTCTAACAGTTCTCTATTGTAATAACTGAGTTCTAACAGTTCTCTACTGTAATAACTGAGTTCTAACAGTTCTCTACTGTAATACGCCTCAACTGAGTTCTAACAGTTCTCTACTGTAATACCCCTTAACTGAGTTCTAACAGTTCTCTACTGTTATAACTGAGTTCTAACAGTTCTCTACTGTAATGCCCCTCAACTGGGTTCTAACAGTTCTCTACTGTAATAACTGAGTTCTAACAGTTCTCTACTGTAATGACTGAGTTCTAACAGTTCTCTACTGTAATGACTGAGTTCTAACCGTTCTCTACTGTAATGCCCCTCAACTGAATTCTAACAGTTCTCTACTGTAATGCCCCTCAACTGGGTTCTAACAGTTCTCTACTGTAATAACTGAGTTCTAACAGTTCTCTACTGTAATGCCCCTCAACTGAGTTCTAACAGTTCTCTACTGTAATAACTGAGTTCTAACAGTTCTCTACTGTAATAACTGCGTTCTAACAGTTCTCTACTGTAATGCCCCTCAACTGAGTTCTAACAGTTATCTACTGTAATAACTGAGGTCTAACAGTTCTCTACTGTAATGCCCCTCAACTGAGTTCTAACAGTTCTCTACTGTAATGCCCCTCAACTGAGTTCTAACAGTTATCTACTGTAATAACTGAGGTCTAACAGTTCTCTACTGTAATAACTGAGTTCTAACAGTTCTCTACTGTAATAACTGAGTTCTAACAGTTCTGTACTGTAATGCTCCTCAACTGAGTTCTAACAGTTCTCTACTGTAATGCCCCTCAACTGAGTTCTAACAGTTATCTACTGTAATAACTGAGTTCTAACAGTTCTCTACTGTAATGCCCCTCTACTGAGTTCTAACAGTTCTCTACTGTAATGCCCCTCTACTGAGTTCTAACAGTTCTCTACTGTAATAACTGAGTTCTAACAGTTCTCTACTGTAATGCCCCTCAACTGAGTTCTAACAGTTCTCTACTGTAATGCCCCTCAACTGAGTTCTAACAGTTCTCTACTGTAATAACTGAGTTCTAACAGTTCTCTACTGTAATAACTGAGTCTAACAGTTATCTACTGTAATAACTGAGTTCTAACAGTTCTCTATTGTAATAACTGAGTTCTAACAGTTCTCTACTGTAATAACTGAGTTCTAACAGTTCTCTACTGTAATACGCCTCAACTGAGTTCTAACAGTTCTCTACTGTAATACCCCTTAACTGAGTTCTAACAGTTCTCTACTGTAATAACTGAGTTCTAACAGTTCTCTACTGTAATGCCCCTCAACTGGGTTCTAACAGTTCTCTACTGTAATAACTGAGTTCTAACAGTTCTCTACTGTAATGACTGAGTTCTAACAGTTCTCTACTGTAATAACTGAGTTCTAACCGTTCTCTACTGTAATGCCCCTCAACTGAATTCTAACAGTTCTCTACTGTAATGCCCCTCAACTGGGTTCTAACAGTTCACTACTGTAATAACTGAGTTCTAACAGTTCTCTACTGTAATGCCCCTCAACTGAGTTCTAACAGTTCTATACTGTAATAACTGAGTTCTAACAGTTCTCTACTGTAATAACTGCGTTCTAACAGTTCTCTACTGTAATGCCCCTCAACTGAGTTCTAACAGTTCTCTACTGTAATGCCCCTCAACTGAGTTCTAACAGTTCTCTACTGTAATAACTGAGTTCTAACAGTTCTCTACTGTAATGCCCCTCAACTGAGTTCTAACAGTTATCTACTGTAATAACTGAGTTCTAACAGTTCTCTACTGTAATAACTAAGTTCTAACAGTTCTCTACTGTAATAACTGAGTTCTAACAGTTCTCTACTGTAATAACTGAGTCTAACAGTTATCTACTGTAATAACGGAGTTCTAACAGTTCTCTACTGTAATAACTGAGTTCTAACAGTTCTCTACTGTAATGCCCCTCAACTGAGTTCTAACAGTTTTCTACTGTAATAACTGAGTTCTAACAGTTATCTACTGTAATAACTAAGTTCTAACAGTTCTCTACTGTAATAACTGAGTTCTAACAGTTCTCTACTGTAATAACTGAGCTCTAACAGTTCTCTACTGTAATAACTGAGTTCTAACAGTTCTCTACTGTAATACTCCTCAACTGAGTTCTAACAGTTCTCTACTGTAATAAATGAGTTCTAACAGTTCTTTACTGTAATGCCCCTTAACTGAGTTCTAACAGTTCTCTACTGTAATAACTGAGTTCTAACAGTTCTCTACTGTAATGCCCCTCAACTGAGTTCTAACAGTTCTCTACTGTAATGCCCCTCAACTGAGTTCTAACAGTTATCTACTGTAATAACTGAGTTCTAACAGTTTTCTACTGTAATAACTGAGTTCTAACAGTTCTCTACTGTAATAACTGAGTTCTAACAGTTCTCTACTGTAATAACTAAGTTCTAACAGTTCTCTACTATAATAACTGAGTCTAACAGTTATCTACTGTAATAACTGAGTTCTAACAGTTCTCTATTGTAATAACTGAGTTCTAACAGTTCTCTACTGTAATAACTGAGTTCTAACAGTTCTCTACTGTAATACCCCTTAACTGAGTTCTAACAGTTCTCTACTGTAATAACTGAGTTCTAACAGTTCTCTACTGTAATGCCCCTCAACTGGGTTCTAACAGTTCTCTACTGTAATAACTGAGTTCTAACAGTTCTCTACTGTAATGACTGAGTTCTAACAGTTCTCTACTGTAATAACTGAGTTCTAACCGTTCTCTACTGTAATGCCCCTCAACTGAATTCTAACAGTTCTCTACTGTAATGCCCCTCAACTGGGTTCTAACAGTTCACTACTGTAATAACTGAGTTCTAACAGTTCTCTACTGTAATGCCCCTCAACTGAGTTCTAACAGTTCTCTACTGTAATAACTGAGTTCTAACAGTTCTCTACTGTAATAACTGCGTTCTAACAGTTCTCTACTGTAATGCCCCTCAACTGAGTTCTAACAGTTCTCTACTGTAATGCTCAACTGAGTTCTAACAGTTCTCTACTGTAATAACTGAGTTCTAACAGTTCTCTACTGTAATGCCCCTCAACTGAGTTCTAACAGTTATCTACTGTAATAACTGAGTTCTAACAGTTCTCTACTGTAATAACTAAGTTCTAACAGTTCTCTACTGTAATAACTGAGTTCTAACAGTTCTCTACTGTAATAACTGAGTCTAACAGTTATCTACTGTAATAACGGAGTTCTAACAGTTCTCTACTGTAATAACTGAGTTCTAACAGTTCTCTACTGTAATGCCCCTCAACTGAGTTCTAACAGTTTTCTACTGTAATAACTGAGTTCTAACAGTTATCTACTGTAATAACTAAGTTCTAACAGTTCTCTACTGTAATAACTGAGTTCTAACAGTTCTCTACTGTAATAACTGAGTTCTAACAGTTCTCTACTGTAATAACTGAGTTCTAACAGTTCTCTACTGTAATACTCCTCAACTGAGTTCTAACAGTTCTCTACTGTAATAAATGAGTTCTAACAGTTCTTTACTGTAATGCCCCTTAACTGAGTTCTAACAGTTCTCTACTGTAATAACTGAGTTCTAACAGTTCTCTACTGTAATGCCCCTCAACTGAGTTCTAACAGTTCTCTACTGTAATGCCCCTCAACTGAGTTCTAACAGTTATCTACTGTAATAACTGAGTTCTAACAGTTCTCTACTGTAATAACTGAGTTCTAACAGTTCTCTATTGTAATAACGGAGTTCTAACAGTTCTCTACTGTAATGCTCCTCAACTGAGTTCTAACAGTTCTCTACTGTAATAACTGAGTTCTAACAGTTCTCTACTGTAATGCCCTTCAACTGAATTCTAACAGTCCTCTACTGTAATAACTGAGGTCTAACAGTTCTCTACTGTAATGCCCCTCAACTGAGTTCTAACAGTTCTCTACTGTAATAACTGAGTTCTAACAGTTCTCTACTGTAATGCCCCTCAACTGAGTTCTAACAGTTATCTACTGTAATAACTGAGTTGTAACAGTTCTCTACTGTAATAACTGAGTTCTAACAGTTCTCTATTGTAATAACTGAGTTCTAACAGTTCTCTATTGTAATAACTGAGTTCTAACAGTTCTCTACTGTAATGCTCCTCAACTGAGTTCTAACAGTTCTCTACTGTAATGGCCCTCAACTGAGTTCTAACAGTTCTCTACTGTAATAACTGAGTTCTAACAGTTCTCTACTGTAATCTTTCTCTGGGCTATGAACACAAAGAGGACATGATGCTCCAGAGTGCAATGAGTTCAAGCAGCCCATTGTGGAACAAACTCACAGAGGTAAATAGACAAGCACTGTAAATCACAATCAAGAAAATCCCCAAAAGAAGTGAATTCAACTGACATTCAAAACTTTATAGTGCAGTTTTTTAAACAACTCAATGTTTGTGATACAAAGGTAAACAGCACACAGTAAATAGAAGAAGTGAACTCCTCTTCTCCTCCGTTTCTATTGTGGGAGTGGGAATAGGAAGTAAAAATCCCTCCGGTCCCAGAAAGTTGTTTTCTTCATTAATATAGCACGTTGACAGTATTCCTCAAAGAATAATTTAGCCTCTTGTGATTTGGATGTGTGTGTGTGTAAGGAAATAGGAAACTATGGCAACGGCCTCCAAGCTTCTTTGCACAAATAATGCCACAGAAATATGGTCATACTTTAGACTGTGCGCCAAATGGCACCGTATTCCCAGACAGTTATGTTCTTGAGGCTTTTCCGCACCCACCCACCCACACACCCACACACCCACACTCCAGTCTGTTACACAGCCATTTGAAGCAGGTAGAAGAGTTGTGCATCAGATTGTGGACATAGAGGGACTTCAGATGACTGTCTGGCAGAAGGATGGCTGTGTTGAGAAAGAGTGATGTGTTTTAGAGCAGAGCAGTCTGGCCTACAGCGCTAGCAGAGCAGTCTGGCCTAAAGCGCTAACAGAGCAGTCTGGCCTAAAGCGCTAGCAGAGCAGTCTGGCCTAAATCTCTAACAGAGCAGTCTGGCCTACAGCGCTAGCAGAGCAGTCTGGCCTACAGCGCTAGCAGAGCAGTCTGGTCTACAGCGCTAGCAGAGCAGTCTGGCCTACAGCGTTAGCAGTCTGACCTACAGCGTTAGCAGTCTGACCTACAGCACTAGCAGAGCAGTCTGGCTTACAGCACTAGCAGAGCAGTCTGGCCTACAGCACTAGCAGAGCAGTCTGGCCTACAGCACTAGCATAGCAGTCTGGCCTACAGCGCTAGCAGAGCAGTCTGGCCTACAGCGTTAGCAGTCTGACCTACAGCACTAGCAGAGCAGTCTGGCCTACAGCGCTAGCAGAGCAGTCTGGTCTACAGCGTTAGCAGTCTAGCCTACAGCACTAGCAGAGCAGTCTGGCCTACAGCGCTAGCAGAGCAGTCTGGCCTACAGCGTTTGCATTCTGACCTACAGCACTAGCAGAGAAGTCTGACCTACAGCACTAGCAGAGCAGTCTGGCCTACAGCGTTAGCAGTCTGACCTACAGCACTAGCAGAGCAGTCTGGCCTACAGCACTAGCAGAGCAGTCTGGCCTACAGCGCTAGCAGAGCAGTCTGGCCTACAGCGCTAGCAGAGCAGTCTGGCCTACAGCATTAGCAGTCTGACCTACAGCGTTAGCAGTCTGACCTACAGCACTAGCAGAGCAGTCTGGCTTACAGCACTAGCAGAGCAGTCTGGCCTACAGCACTAGCAGAGCAGTCTGGCCTACAGCACTAGCATAGCAGTCTGGCCTACAGCGCTAGCAGAGCAGTCTGGCCTACAGCGTTAGCAGTCTGACCTACAGCACTAGCAGAGCAGTCTGGCCTACATCGCTAGCAGAGCAGTCTGGTCTACAGCGTTAGCAGTCTGACCTACAGCACTAGCAGAGCAGTCTAGCCTACAGCACTAGCAGAGCAGTCTGGCCTACAGCGCTAGCAGAGCAGTCTGGCCTACAGCGTTTGCAGTCTGACCTACAGCACTAGCAGAGAAGTCTGACCTACAGCACTAGCAGAGCAGTCTGGCCTACAGCGTTAGCAGTCTGACCTACAGCACTAGCAGAGCAGTCTGGCCTACAGCACTAGCAGAGCGGTCTGGCCTACAGCACTAGCAGAGCAGACTGGCCTACAGCGCTAGCAGAGCAGTCTGGCCTACAGCGCTAGCGGAGCAGTCTGGCCTACAGCGTTAGCAGTCTGACCTACAGCACTAGCAGAGCAGTCTGGCCTACAGCACTAGCAGAGCAGTCTGGCCTACAGCGCTAGCAGAGCAGTCTGGCCTGCAGCGTTTGCAGTCTGACCTACAGCACTAGCAGAGAAGTCTGACCTACAGCACTAGCAGAGCAGTCTGGCCTACAGCGTTAGCAGTCTGACCTACAGCACTAGCAGAGCAGTCTGGCCTACAGCACTAGCAGAGCAGTCTGGCCTACAGCACTAGCAGAGCAGTCTGGTCTACAGCGCTAGCAGAGCAGTCTGGCCTACAGCGCTAGCAGAGCAGTCTGGCCTACAGCGTTAGCAGTCTGACCTACAGCACTAGCAGAGCAGTCTGGCCTACAACGCTAGCAGTACTATTGATGTTCCAACAGTACTTGAACACAAGCAGTATGCCTGCTCGCTCCAAAGTACCAGTAGATTATACCAGGATCAGAGACCAAAATATGGAGCTGTTCCATTGTCATACATGCTACTGTCCTGTCTGAGAGCTGATTGGTTTAGGCCTTCAGTTAAAGACAGCTGATTGGTTAAACTTTAGGCCTTCCTTCAGTAACACACAGATGAAATAACTGTAGCTCAGGGGCTGTATGTATCAAACATATCAGAGTAGAAGCGCTGATCTAAGATCAGGTACCCCCTGTCCATGTAATCTTATTCATTGTGATTTGAAATACAAAACTGATCCTAGACCAGCACTCGCTTGTTTGATGCATACAGCCAAGCAGCCGGTCCTCTCCTCTTGCAGAGAAGCGTGAGTCACTGAGTCCATTCAGATGAGATAAAAACAAACGTCAGCAGGCATCTACAGGGACACATGGCTCCTGAACATCACTACCTTTCTGTTATCACCAAACCTGATGGACAGTTTACATCAACTACTTGGACAAACTGCCACTCCATTGTTTTTGTATCACTTTATTTGATTAATCCTTTTACAGATGCTCTACAGATGCTGAAACTATCAACAAACTATCAACTGAAACTCTGTTGATAAGCAACAACTTGAGTTAGGGTCAGGTTGATAGTTAGATGAACATCTATAAACGATCTGTAAGGGAAAACAAAATGTTAAATACTTAAAGGTTCTTTCAAGGGATAAGGTGAATGATGAATAATAACCATTGGAAGTGGTTTGAACATTATGCCAATATACTCCCTCTGCAATGAACAGATAATGGAAGCATTGAAATGGAGAATGACCATGGCAAAAAACAGGCTTCAGGGCCCTGTAATGCCCCCCAGGGCCAGAGACAGGCTTCAGGGCCCTGTAATGTCCCCCAGGGCCAGAGGCAGGCTTCAGGGTCCTGTAATGTCCCCCAGGGCCAGAGACAGGCTTTAGGGCCAAAGAGAGAGGCTTGGTTCCTTCATCACCCTCTGCAGGCTGCAGGAGTTAACACTTCATGAAAGTAAGGTTAGGAGACGACCACCGTGGAGGGGCCAGGGACTGAAGCCTAAATATACCCAGCCAGCTGCCCTCTGATCTGGGAGTGAAGCTCCAAATAGAGACCCTGAAGTGAAAATCCACAGCCATACTAACACTTTAGACATTACTACTACAAATAGTTGGTCTGTTGATTACTTTAAGATTAAATAGGTGTTTTTAACTTCAACTGCTAACAGAATGATAGCGGCATGCATGGTTCACAGCAATCTACGACAATAACCATCACAAGAAAACATAGATTATTACATGCACGTCTCACGCACATGCACACAGACACACACGCACAGCCACACACACGCACAGCCGCACAAACACACACACAAAAGCTCACAAATAAAACAGAATTAAACAAAGAAGGAAATCCAAAAATAAACAACTAAATGAGTACTTACACAGTCGCCGTGCCGTATAAGTAAATTATTTGGAATTAAGTTGTGTCCACTTATCCAATTCAAAACAATCATGCAGCGTTGCCAAAAACATGTGCCTCTACTTGAAAACCAAAGAATGGAGGGAAAATGCTTTTGCCTGTTAGAGAGCATTTATATGTTAGGAACAGCTGGGGTTTAAGTATATGGTTAATGGAAAGACATTTGTAACAATGATAGTGGTTTAAACCTGGCAGCTTTTGCAAGCATACATGTTTTATGTGAAACAATAGCTGAAGTAACTAGGTTTTCAGTTATTGTTTTCTGTTATTGTTCTCTGTTATTGGAAATAACAAATACAACAGAGACTCCACCCTTCTCCACCTCCCTTCTCCTCCCTTCTCCTCCACTCTCCTAATCCCTTCTCCAACCTCCTCCTACCTCCTTATCCACCCTTCTCCACCAGGGGCGGCCTGTTCAATAGGGCGATATGGGCGACGCACTGCCAAACGGGAAAAGGAAGGGATTTTTTTTCTAATCAATTATATCACGGCAACAGTAGTTATCAGTGTTGTAATCTATACGTCTGATCTGCCACAGTGCCACACTGCCACTAAATGTCGAATCAGGCTAAAGTCGTGCTTCAAATGGCTCCCCCCCCTTTTGGGGCGATTTCAGTCAGGTTGAAAATCGCCCAGAAGTCTGTCATAGCCTCTAATGTAAAATCAATTTTTTTCAAATTTCAGAGCCTTCAATACAATCTCAATGGGTGTCTGTGGGCTTGCACTTACGCGCTTTCGTCATACGTTACGTAACCATGAACGTAACTGAGAAAAGAGCGGATTGTTTGAAAGAAGTTCCTTTTTGTCGGCGAACAAATGAAGATACATTGGCAACGAAACAATTAGGACCTCCCAGACCAAATTTAATAATTCAACAGGTTTCTACTAAAGGCGGAAAGTCCTACACCCGAGGATTTTCCAAAAATTGGTACGAACGAAAAAAGACATTGCCACTCACTCAACTGGATGACGAGGGATACAGGCTAGCTGTCCGCCGCCACAACGATGAGGTTAGTGTTGATAATCACAAGTTTACTGGAGCGTTCACGGACCCGTTCGTCAAACTCTTAGGGAGCTATAAATTAAGCCCCATTACTTACCATATCAGATAAGAGAAATTGCTGCAGCTACATATATTTTACATCCTGGCCCTACATAGTTCACTATTTGCATCACTTACCAAAATATTACATGTGGTCATATATGCTTGGAAAGTGGAGATGCCATAGAACGTCAAAAAAGTAAACATTGCTGGAGACACATTGCCGTTTTGGAGAAGACATCGCGTTTGCTAGCGAAGAGATTTGTTGTGGCAAATGAACTTGGGCTGGGAATTGCCAGGAACCTCACGATAAGATATATGCATCAGCATTGCGAGTCTCATGATTCTATACGTATTGCGATTCGATACTGTGATTTTATTGCGCACCATATGTCTGTTGCAGAGGGATCAGAAAGCCATGAGAACGAGTTTTGATCAGTCATGGAAATAAAAGTGCTGAAAACAAATTGGCTCCCAATGTGAAAAGATTGAGAACAAGCTATGAAGGAACAATAATGGTGTTTTGGTGCAGGTACAGCCAACTAGCACTAAAATATTGCGATATTGTCAATACAGTATATCGTAAAGTATCACTATGTAACTCGATTTCTTTCACCCCAATCCCTCAAATTAACGGTAAATAACTGAATTGTTTGCCCCACATTTAGCTAAGATGATTAGCTAGCCAGCTAAAATGTTTTATTTAGTTAGCAGTCGCATCTACAATAGTTTACTGTCAATAACATGTCTCCAAAAATGACGTGGTGTCTCCAATTGTGTTGACATTTTACAATTGCAATGCGCATCCATGAGTATCCACTTTCTGTAGCTCAGCTGGTAGAGCATGGTGCTTGTAACGCCAAGGTAGTGGGTTCGATCCCCGGGACCACCCATACACAAAAATGTATGCACGCATGACTGTAAGTCGCTTTGGATAAAAGTGTCTGCTAAATGGCATATTATTATTATTATTATTATTATCTGAAGAGAGCCCCGAAACATTGTGTGCAGACATTTTATGCAATAAATTAAGTAGGTTGAATCTAGTAGTTCTGATCTTCTGATTGGTCCTGATGAGTTGGGCGAGGTCCCCTCCAGGCTACTGTCACTGTTGCATTGGCTCTGAGTCGGGTTCTCTGTCTTCAAATGTTCAGCCTAAGAGAGGGGATTTTTGTGTGTGTGTGTGTGTGTGTGTGTGTTTAACAGTGATGATGTGTGTGTGTGTGTGTGTTTAACAGTGATGATGTGTGTGTGTGTGTGTGTTTGTGTGTGTGTGTGTCCTCAGAGCAAGAACTCGTGAGTTGGAAGAACTGAGAGGCCTATGGCGTGGGTGTTGTCCTTGGCCACCTGCTGACAAGGCTGACAAGATAGGACCCTTTTGTCCATTGTTATTGGATAGGAACAGAACTTATAACCAGCTCCTGACCTAAATAGATCTTAGCACAACATTTTACTCAACATATCATATTCCATATTCACTATAACAAATATATTTACTACGACATTAGCAAGAACCGCCACATCCTCAGCCGGCTAATCCAGTGTGTGAAGTTTTGCGGAGTGTTTGAGTTAGCTTTGCGAGGCAAAGATGAAACTGAGGGCTCCACCAACCCTGGTAAGCCAACACTTTTGAGATCAGTCAATAAATGCTTCTGGTATTGACTTATATGCTGCCCCTGTCTTCATGTTGTTGCTGGACATATCTTTTTTTAAATGTGTGTAGGTCACCTAAATCATCAGAAAAATTGCCCCTCCTGAGAATTTTTTCAGGAGCCGCCACTGTTCTCCACCCTCCTCCACCCTTCTCCACCCTCCTCCTCCCTTCTCCTCTACCCTCCTCCCCTCTTCTCATCCCTTCTCCAAAATGGTGGAAACAACCTCCAGACAATCCAATGTAAGGGAATGTGCAAGTTCAGATTTAAGGATACACAGATGAAACGGATGATTCAAACAGATGATCAGGGCTGTACTGTGAACTTTGACCTTTGAACTCACCAGTATTTTGCCGTTGGGTTTGTCCTGCCGGGCGAGGCTGACCCCCATCCACTCATCATCCCTGTCTCCCTGGCACGTCTTCCCACAAGACTCCCGGGGCTTATTCCCTGCAGGAGCGGTACAGAAGACAGCAGTGTGTTAACAATGACTGTAATATGGTGTTCCAAAGAGGACGTCTTTCCCATCAAAATCAAATCAAATTTTATTTGTCACATGCGCTGAATACAACAGGTGTAGACCTTACAGTGAAATGCTTACTTACAAGCCCTTAACCAACAATGCAGTTTTAAGAAAGAATACCCCCACAAAAAATCAAACAAAAAAAACAATATAAAATAATACGAAATAAAAGTAACAAATAATTAAAGAGCAGCAGTAAATATAACAATAGCAAGGATATATACAGGGGGTACCGGTACCGAGTCAATGTGTGGGGGCACCGGTTAGTCCAGGTAATTGGGGTAATATGAACATGCAGGTAGAGTTAAAGTGACTATGCATAGATGATAAACAGAGAGTAGCAGCAGCGTAAAAGAGGGTTGGGGGGGGGGGGGGGCAATGCAAATAGTCTGGGTAGCCATTTGATTAGATGTTCAGGAGTCTTATGGCTTGGGGGTAGAAGCTGTTTAGAAGCCTTTTGGACCTAGACTTGGTGCTCCGGTACCGCTTGCCGTGCGGTAGCAGAGGGAACAGTCTATGGCTAGGGTGGCTGGAGTCTTTGACAATTTTTAGGGCCTTCCTCTGACACCGCCTGGTATAGAGGTCCTGGATGGCAGGACGCTTGGCCCCAGTGATGTACTGGGCCGTACGCACTACCCTCTGTAGTGCCTTGCGGTCGGAGGCTGAGCAGTTGCCATACCAGGCAGTGATGCAACCAGTCAGGATGCTCTCGATGCTGCAGCTGTAGAACCTTTTAAGGATCTGAGGACCCATGCCAAATCTTTTCAGTCTCCTTAGGGGGAATAGGTGTTGTTACCTACCCTTTCCACCTGGGGGCGGCCCTTCAGGAAGTCCAGGATCCAGTTGCAGAGGGAGGTGTTTAGTCCCAGGGTCCTTAGCTTAGTGATGAACTTTGAGGGCACTATGGTGTTGAACGCTGAGCTGTAGTCAATTAATAGCATTCTCACATAAGTGTTCCTTTTCTCCAGGTATGAAATGGCAGTGTGGAGCGCAATAGAGATTGCATCATCTGTGGATCTGTTGGGGCGATATGCAAATTGGAGTGGGTCTAGGGTTTCTGGGACAATGGTGTTGATGTGAGCCATGACCAGCCTCTCAAAGCACTTCATGGCTACAGACGTCAGTGCTTTGGGTTGGTAGTCATTTAGGCAGGTTACCTTGGTGTTCTTGGGCACAGGGACTATGGTGTTCTGCTTGAAACATGTTGGTATTACAGACTCAGTCAGGGACAGGTTGAAAATGTCAGTGAAGACACTTGCCAGTTGGTCAGTGCATGCTCGGAGTACACGTCCTGGTAATCCGTCTGGCCCTGCAGCCTTGTGAATGTTGACCTGTTTAAAGGTCTTACTCAATTTGGCTATGGAGAGCGTGATCACACAGTCATCCAGAACAGCTAATGCTCTCATGCATGTTTCAGTGTTACTTGCCTCGAAGCGAGCATAGAAGTAATTTAGCTCGTCTGGTAGGCTTGTGTCACTGGGCAGCTCGCGGCTGTGCTTCCCTTTGTAGTCTGTAATAGTTTTCAAGCCTTGCCACATCCGACGAGCGTCAGAGCCGGTGTAGTATGATTTAATCTTAGTCCTGTACTGACTCTTTGCCTGTTTGATGGTTCGTCGGAGGGCATAGCGGGATTTCTTATAAGCTTCTGGGTTAGAGTCCCGCTCCTTGAAAGCGGCAGCTCTACCCTTTAGCTCAGTGCGGATGTTGCCTGTAATCCATGGCTTCTGGTTGGGGTATGTACGTACAGTCACTGTGGGGACGATGTCATCGATGCACTTATTGATGAAGCCAGTGACTGATGTGGTGTACTCCTCAAAGCCATCGGAAGAATCCCGGAACATATTCCAGTCTGTGGTAGCAAAACAGTCCTGTAGCTTAGCATCTGCTTCATCTGACCACTTTTTTATTGACCGAGTCACTTCCTCTGGGAGTCAACAGATGAAAGGAATACCTAGAGACAGTCTCTAATACAGCTCTAACCTCTGGGAGCCAACAGATGAAAGGGATACCTAGAGACAGTCTCTAATACAGCTCTAACCTCTGGGAGCCAACAGATGAAAGGGATACCTAGAGACAGTCTCTAATACAGCTCTAACCTCTGGGAGCCAACAGATGAAAGGGATGCCTAGAGACAGTCTCTAATACAGCTCTAACCTCTGGGAGCCAACAGATGAAAGGGATGCCTAGAGACAGTCTCTAATAGAGCTCTAACCTCTGGGAGCCAACAGATGAAAGGGATGCCTAGAGACAGTCTCTAATACAGCTCTAACCTCTGGGAGCCAACAGATGAAAGGGATGCCTAGAGACAGTCTCTAATACAGCTCTAACCTCTGGGAGCCAACAGTGAAAGGGATGCCTAGAGACAGTCTCTAATACAGCTCTAACCTCTGGGAGCCAACAGATGAAAGGGATACCTAGAGACAGTCTCTAATACAGCTCTAACCTCTGGGAGCCAACAGATGAAAGGGATGCCTAGAGACAGTCTCTAATACAGCTCTAACCTCTGGGAGCCAACAGATGAAAGGGATGCCTAGAGACAGTCTCTAATACAGCTCTAACCTCTGGGAGCCAACAGATGAAAGGGATGCCTAGAGACAGTCTCTAATACAGCTCTAACCTCTGGGAGCCAACAGATGAAAGGGATGCCTAGAGACAGTCTCTAATACAGCTCTAACCTCTGGGAGCCAACAGATGAAAGGGATGCCTAGAGACAGTCTCTAATACAGCTCTAACCTCTGGGAGCCAACAGATGAAAGGGATGCCTAGAGACAGTCTCTAATACAGCTCTAACCTCTTGGAGCCAACAGATGAAAGGGATACCTAGAGACAGTCTCTAATACAGCTCTAACCTCTGGGAGCCAACAGATGAAAGGGATACCTAGAGACAGTCTAATACAGCTCTAACCTCTGGGAGCCAACAGATGAAAGGGATGCCTAGAGACAGTCTCTAATACAGCTCTAACCTCTGGGAGCCAACAGATGAAAGGGATGCCTAGAGACAGTCTCTAATACAGCTCTAACCTCTGGGAGCCAACAGATGAAAGGGATGCCTAGAGACAGTCTCTAATACAGCTCTAACCTCTGGGAGCCAACAGATGAAAGGGATGCCTAGAGACAGTCTCTAATACAGCTCTAACCTCTGGGAGCCAACAGATGAAAGGGATGCCTAGAGACAGTCTCTAATACAGCTCTAACCTCTGGGAGCCAACAGATGAAAGGGATGCCTAGAGACAGTCTCTAATACAGCTCTAACCTCTGGGAGCCAACAGATGAAAGGGATGCCTAGAGACAGTCTCTAATACAGCTCTAACCTCTGGGAGCCAACAGATGAAAGGGATGCATAGAGACAGTCTCTAATACAGCTCTAACCTCTGGGAGCCAACAGATGAAAGGGATACCTAGAGACAGTCTCTAATACGGTTCTAACTACTAGCTCTGAAGTTGATCTATGTTCCCATGATGACTGACCTTGCTTGAGGTCTGAGGACTTGTGTTAGCTGCCCTTAGATAATGCCTTGGCTTTAGCTCATCAAGCTAACACAGTCTTATGGCATAGGGACAACCTGGGTTCAACCCAGGTTCAAGTGAGGTTTATGGTGGAACAGTCTGACAATGTCAGGCCATGGTCTGAATACCTGGCAGCCTTTTATCAGTGTTGACAAGCCCATGTAGTGTGTGTGGGTACAATATATTGACAAGCCCACAGGGGGTACTGGTACAATATACAGGGGGTACTGGTACAATATACAGGGTGTACTAGTACAATGTGCAGGGATACAGGTTAATCGAGGTAATTTGTACAGTGAAGGAAAAAAGTATTTGATCCCCTGCTGATTTTGTACGTTTGCCCACTGACAAAGACATGATCAGTCTATAATTTTAATGGTAGGTTTATTTGACCAGTGAGAGACAGAATAACAACAACAAAATCCAGAAAAACACATGTCAAAAATGTTATAAATTGATTTGCATTTTAATGAGGGAAATAAGTATTTGACCCCTCTGCAAAACATGACTTAGTACTTGGTGGCAAAACCCTTGTTGGCAATCACAGAGGTCAGACGTTTCTTGTAGTTGGCCACCAGGTTTGCACACATCTCAGGAGGGATTTTGTCCCACTCCTCTTTGCAGATCTTCTCCAAGTCATTAAGGTTTCAAGGCTGACGTTTGGCAACTCAAACCTTCAGCTCCCTCCACAGATTTTCTATGGGATTAAGGTCTAGAGACTGGCTAGGCCACTCCAGGACCTTAATGTGCTTCTTCTTGAGCCACTCCTTTGTTGCCTTGGCCGTGTGTTTTGGGTCATTGTCGTGCTGGAATACCCATCCACGACCCATTTTCAATGCCCTGGCTGAGGGAAGGAGGTTCTCACCCAAGATTTGACGGTACATGGCCCGTCCATCGTCCCTTTGATGCGGTGAAGTTGTCCTGTCCCCTTAGCAGAAAAACACCCCCAAAGCATAATGTTTCCACCTTCATGTTTGACGGTGGGGATGGTGTTCTTGGGGTCATAGGCAGCATTCCTCCTCCTCCAAACACGGCGAGTTGAGTTCATGCCAAAGAGCTCAATTTTGGTCTCATCTGACCACAACACTTTCACCCAGTTCTCCTCTGAATCATTCAGATGTTCATTGGCAAACTTCAGACGGGCCTATATATGTGCTTTCTTGAGCAGGGTGACCTTGCGGGCGCTGCAGGATTTCAGTCCTTCACGGCGTAGTGTGTTACCAATTGTTTTCTTGGTGACTATGGTCCCAGCTGCCTTGAGATCATTGACAAGATCCTCCCGTGAAGTTCTGGGCTGATTCCTCACCGTTCTCATGATCATTGCAACTCCACGAGGTGAGATCTTGCATGGAGCCCCAGGCCGAGGGAGATTGACAGTTCTTTTGTGTTTCTTCCATTTGCGAATAATCGCACCAACTGTTGTCACCTTCTCACCAAGATGCTTGGCAATAGTCTTGTAGCCCATTCCAGCCTTGTGTAGGTATACAATCTTGTCCCTGACATCCTTGGAGAGCTCTTTGGTCTTGGCCATGGTGGAGAGTTTGGAATCTGATTGATTGATTGCTTCTGTGGACAGGTGTCTTTTATACAGGTAACAAACTGAGATTAGGAGCACTCCCTTTAAGAGTGTGCTCCTAATCTCAGCTCGTTACCTGTATAAAAGACACCTGAGAGCCAGAAATCTTTCTGATTGAGAGGGGGTCAAATACTTATTTCCCTCATTAAAATGCAAATCAATTTATAACATTTTTGACATGCGTTTTTCTGGATCTTTTTGTTCTTATTCTGTCTCTCACTGTTCAAATAAACCTACCATTAAAATTATAGACTGATCATGTCTTTGTCAGTGGGCAAACGTACAAAATCAGCAGGGGATCAAATACTTTTTTCCCTCACTGTATGTTAAATGGGGCACGAAGTACGTGAAACAGCTTTTTCCTGCAATCTAGAGCCATAATCATTACACCTAATTATACGTTATTTTTTTTTATATTTTTATGCATAGGTTATTTTAGCTAAGATTGTTAAACAAGCTACTCTAACTGGCTTGGTACCTAGTTATAAGGTTGGGAGATTGGGAATCTATCTAGCTGGCTAGCTAAAGCCAACTTCATCAAATTGCTGGGTGGCTAGTATTACATATTACTATTTGCCTGTTCCAGTCAGTGTACCCCCTTCACAAAATATAGCTGACAGATTTTTTTTGAAATAATTATGATAAAACTTGAAGTTTAGTAATTAATTGAAATTCTGAAAAATTCTAAAACAGGACAAATCTGAGGGGGCACATGCCTTTGTGCCCCCTATGGGCATGACGCTACTGTATGGCTCTGGTCCTAGGGTTAGTATAATGTGTGGTTGTTCAGTGGTTCTCCATAAGTCTCTGGTCCGTGGTGACTGTGTGGTTCGTGGTTCAGTACTGACCTCTGCCCAGGTCCATCTCCGTGCAGCGTCTCTCTGGGTTGCTGTGGACACGGCACTTGAACACGGCTCCCGGGGTGTGGAGTGAGCTGCTGTAGGAAGAGTTGGCCTTGGGGGCCCCTACCAGAACCCTTTAGACAGAAGCAAACATATTGTGTAAACTTAACACATCCGGTTACAACAGTCAGTCACATAATTAAGGAGGAGGAGAAGAAGAGTTGGCCTTAGGCCCCTACCAGCACACTGTAGACAGAGAAAATGGCCCCTACCAGCACACTGTAGACAGAGAAAATGGGCCCCTACCAGCACACTGTAGAAGGAAACAATGGGCCCCTACCAGCACACTGTAGACAGAGAAAATGGACCCCTACCAGCACACTGTAGACAGAGAAAATGGGCCTCTACCAGCACCCTGTAGACAGACAATGGCCCCTACCAGCACCCTGTAGACAGAGACAATGGGCCCCTACCAGCACACTGTAGACAGAGACAATGGGCCCCTACCAGCACACTATAGACAGAGAAAATGGGCCCCTACCAGCACCCTGTAGACAGAGATATTGGGCCCCTACCAGCCCCCTGTAGACAGAGACAATGGGCCCCTACCAGCACACTGTAGACAGAGACAATGGGCCCCTACCAGCACCCTGTAGACAGAGACAATGGGCCCCTACCAGCACCCTGTAGACAGAGACAATGGGCCCCTACCAGCACACTGTAGACAGAGACAATGGGCCCCTACCAGCACCCTGTAGACAGACAATGGCCCCTACCAGCACCCTGTAGACAGAGACAATGGGCCCCTACCAGCACACTGTAGACAGAGACAATGGGCCCCTACCAGCACACTATAGACAGAGAAAATGGGCCCCTACCAGCCCCCTGTAGACAGAGACAATGGGCCCCTACCAGCCCCATGTAGACAGAGACAATGGGCCCCTACCAGCACACTGTAGACAGAGACAATGGGCCCCTACCAGCACCCTGTAGACAGAGACAATGGGCCCCTACCAGCACCCTGTAGACAGAGACAATTGGCCCCTACCAGCACACTGTAGACAGAGACAATGGGCCCCTACCAGCACACTGTAGACAGAGACAATGGGCACTTACCAGCACCCTGCAGACAGAGACAATGGGCCCCTACCAGCACACTGTATACAGAGACAATGGACCCCTACCAGCACACTGTAGACAGAGACAATGGGCCCCTACCAGCACACTGTAGACAGAGACAATGGGCCCCTACCAGCAGCCTGTAGACAGAGACAATGGGCCCCTACCAGCACACTGTAGACAGAGACAATGGGCCCCTACCAGCAGCCTGTAGACAGAGACAATGGGCCCCTACCAGCACACTGTAGACAGAGACAATGGGCCCCTACCAGCACACTGTAGACAGAGACAATGGGCCCCTACCAGCACACTGTAGACAGAAACAATGGGCCGCTACCAGCACCCTGTAGACAGAGACAATGGGCCCCTACCAGCACACTGTAGACAGAGACAATGGGCCCCTACCAGCACACTGTAGACAGAGACAATGGGCCCCTACCAGCACACTGTAGACAGAGACAAAGGGCCCCTACCAGCACCCTGTAGACAGAGACAATGGCCCCCTACCAGCACACTTTAGACAGAGACAATGGGCCCCTACCAGCACCATGTAGACAGAGACAATGGGCCCCTACCAGCACCCTGGAGACAGAGACAATGGGCCCCTACCAGCACCCTGTAGACAGAGACAATGGGCCCCTACCAGCACCCTGGAGACAGAGACAATGGGCCCCTACCAGCACCCTGGAGACAGAGACAATGGGCCCCTACCAGCACCCTGTAGACAGAGACAATGGGCCCCTACCAGCACCCTGTAGACAGAGACAATGGGCCCCTACCAGCACACTGTAGACAGAGACAATGGGCCCCTACCAGCACCGTGTAGACAGAGACAATGGGAGGGACAGTCATGATGATGTCACACAGTGAAGAAGGAGAACAGTAGGAAGATAAGAACACCTTGAAGGATCACCCAGCGTCAAGGATACAGTGACAACACACATCCTGTCACAATGAAGTGGCATAATGGCATCTCTTTATCGTCTTCATCAGACCCACTGTAGCACAGAGTCATTCCCCCCATGTTCAAGACAAGTATGCCTATATTCAGGGGGGGAACATGTGGAACCGGAGTTCCCAAAAATAAATAATTTTGGTGACTTTTTCACAATTCCACCCCTTTTTCACAATTCCACAATTCCACCCGAGTTTTGTACACACTGAGTGTACAAAACATTAGGAACACCTGCTCTTTCCATGACATAGACTGACCAGGGACAGGTCAACTAGGCTGCTACATGCTGGAATCTGGGACAGATCAAATAGGCTGCTACATGCTGGAATCTGGGACAGGTCGGCTAGGCTGCTACATGCTGGAATCTGGGACAGGTCGGCTAGGCTGCTAAATGCTTGAATCTGGGACAGGTCAGCTAGGCTGCTACATGCTATAATCTGGGACAGGTAAGCTAGGCTGCTACATGCTGGAATCTGGGACAGGTCAGCTAGGCTGCTACATGCTGGAATCTGGGACAGGTCAGCTAGGCTGCTACATGCTGGAATCTGGGACAGGTCACCTAGGCTGCTACATGCTGTAATCTGGGACATGTCGGCTAGGCTGCTACAGAACAAAGGTCCAAAAGCAAAAGAAACCAAACAACATGCACATTCTGCAACACTGCACATCAATCAAACTGTTGACATAATTAAGATAAGACTATATGTCACCGTTACAGAAATCGACTGTTTTTCTAAACAAGAGAAAGGCGTTTACGCACAGCAGTAGACTATTGAGCAAACTTCATCCACACACCGTCAATTGAGACAGTCTATTGATTTCGAAAATTACACTTATTAACGTTGTGATTTTGTAGGTTATAGCTCACATCATTAGGCTATTCTTCAACATATGCAAGCAGGTTGCACAGTGCGCACAAATGTGAATGGCCCAAATACAATCCATACCAATTGCGCAACAACCAAATCGTGCCATTAATGGTCAAGCAACGGGGATACATAAGTGCATGAACAGTCCCCATTGCAATAACAGCTTGATAGGCCTACCTGTTTCCTCTTGATAGCTTATGAGACTTACCAGCGCGTATTGTCATGATAGTGCTCCAGAACAGAGTATCCAAAGAAACTCGAGTCAGGTCCACGGAACACAATAGCATGTTCTAAGTCAATGTTGTAGGAGTGAACTACAGAAACAGACAAATACACGCAGAGAACATCCAAAAGGCTCCTCTTCTGATTCATAAAATGACCCATCCTTTTGCACATCCTTGAGAGGAACAACAGTATGGAAGAAGTATCTCAAACAAAACAAAGCCCGTCAAGGTTTCAATGCTACAGATAAAGTTACAAAAACTAACAGTTCGACTAGTTTCTGAAGTCTAGCACTATGAACATGGAAAAATGACAGGGGTAGTGGGTCGAGAATTAAAAGTAACGGTCTCGTCAGCTGCTCTGCATACTGTCAATCTGAAGAAATGATGTCTGTCTCCAGCACGGAGCTGCTTGCGGTGGTGATAAGTGCGGTCATGGCAGAAGCCGAATTTCTCAATGGGTTCGCGGCTCAAGTATCACATTTCACAACCCGCATCGCGCTTCCAACGTTTGTGAACGATGACGCCCTCTGCCGTTCGGTATGGGGAGCGAATCGAGGGCCAAAGACGAATGAATGACCTGTTGTTGACCAATCCAATTTGATATTGGCTGCTGATGTTTGATATAACATGACGTCTTCATTACTTGTTCACATGTTTGGAAACACTTCCTTAACCGAAGTGACTTTTTTGTAAATTGAAATCTGCAATAAAATACTAAGTGGACTGTAATTTCTGGCCTAATGGTTTTCTTCCCCTGTGAGCAGTCTAAGGACAAGGTATGACAGCAATCCATGCTTTGGTTCAGTTTCCCTGGCCCTTTCCATGCCAAAACATTTGGAAAAGCATGGTTTGCTGTCATACCTTGTCCATAGAATGCTTAAAGCATAAAGGAAACCACATGTAATTTTGTACTTTTGGTAAACTATCCCTTTAACAAGGACCTAATTGCTTGAGTTAAATTAAATATAACAGACATAGATAATCAAATCAAATCGTATTTGTCACATACACGTGTTTAGCAGATGTTATAGCGGGTGTAGCGAAATGCTTGTGCTTCTAGCTCCGACAGTGCAGTAATATCTAACAATTTCACAACATATACCCAATACACACAAAAAAAGTAAGGAATGGGATTTAAGAATATTACATTTACATTTTACATTTTAGTCATTTAGCAGACGCTCTTATCCAGAGCGACTTACAGTTAGTGAATACATTTATTTTTATTTTTATACTGGCCCACCGTGGGAATCGAACCCACAACCCTGGCTTTGCAAACGCCATGCTCTATCAACTGAGCTACATCCCTGCCGTCCATTCCCTCCCCTACCCTGGACGACGCTGGGCCAATTGTGCGCCGCCCATGAGTCTCCCGGTCGCGGCCGGCTGCGACAGAGCCTGGATTCGAACCATATATGGACAAGCAATGACAGAGCGGCATGGACTAAGATACAGTAGAATATTATAGAATAGAATGCAGTATATACATATGAGATGAGTAGTGCAAGATATGTAAACATTATTAAAGTGACTAGTGTTCTATTTCTAAAAGTGGCCAGTGATTTCAATAGGCAGCAGCAGCCTCTAATGTGCTAGTGATGGCTATTTAACAGTCTGATGGCCTTGAGATAGAAGCTGTTTTTCATTCTCTCTGTCCCAGCTTTGATGCACCTGTACTGACCTCGCCTTCTGGATGATAGCGGAGTGAACAGGCAGTGGCTCGGGTGGTTGATGTCCTTGATGATCTTTTTGGCCTTCCTGTGACATCGGGTGATGTAGGTGTCATGGAGGGCGGGTAGTTTGCCCCCGGTAATGCGTTCGGCAGACCGCACCACCCTCTGGAGAGCCCTGCGGTTGTGGGCGGTGCAGTTGCCGTACCAGGCGGTGATACAGCTCGACAGGATGCTCTCAATTGTGCACCTGTAAAAGTTTGTGAGGGTTTTTGGTGATAAGCCAAATTTCTTCAGCCTCCTGAGGTTGAAGAGGCTCTGTTGCGCCTTCTTCACCACACTGTCTGCGTGGGTGGACCATTTCAGTTTGTCTGTGATGTGTACGCCAAGGAACTTGAAGCTTTCCACCTTCTCCACTGCGGTCCCGTCGATGTGGATAGGGGGGTGCACCCTCTGCTGTTTCCTGAAGTCCACGATCATCTCCTTTGTTTTGTTGATGTTGAGTGAGAGGTTATTTTCATGGCACCACACTCCCAGAGCCCTCACCTCCTCCCTGTAGGCGGACTCGTCATTGTTGATAATCAAGCCTACTACTGTTGTGTCGTCTGCAAACTTGATGATTGAGTTGGAGGCGTGCTTGGCCATGCAGTCATGGGTGAACAGGGAGTACAGGAGGGGACGCACCCTTATGGGGCCCCAGTGTTGAGGATCAGCGAAGTGGAGATGTTGTGTCCTACCTTCACCACCTAGGAATAGGGAAGTCCAGGACCGAGTTGCACAGGGCGGGGTTCAGACCCAGGGCCTCGAGCTTAATGATGAGCTTGGAGGGTACTATGGTGTTGAATGCTGAGCTATAGTCAATGAACAGCATTCTTACATAGGTATTCCTCTTGTCCAGATGGGATAGGGCAGTGTGATGGCAATTGCATCCTCTGTGGATCTATTGGGGCGGTAAGCAAATTGAAGTGGATCTAGGGTGACAGGTAAGGTAGAGGTGATACGATCCTTGACTAGTCTCTCAAAGCACTTCATGATGACAGAGGTGAGTGCTACAGGGCGATAGTCATTTTGTTCAGTTACCTTTGCTTTCTTGGGTACAGGAACAATGGTGGCCCTCTTGAAGCATGTGGGAACAGCAGACTGGGAAAGGGAGAGATTGAACAGGTCTCTCCCTTGGCAGCCACTTTGGCAGCTATTGTGGCTGCCCAAGTAATTACAGCGTTAAGTAAAAAGGCTACTTTAAATCTTAGACATTTCTAATACAGATGTTATTCATTTTCCGAACCTGAACGTTTGTTACGAAACAGATTTCCCTAATTTCCTCTGTCAGTTTGCAAAACAGTTCTATTAATACTTATAGGCTTCCTGAAGTGAAATGTCCTGTTTTGGTTAGAGCTGGTGTTATTGTTCACTCTCTACAGTTAGAAAACAACCAGGTGATCACTTCATCATCCTCAAAACTTTTCACATCTTATTATACAGATCGTAAAAGAAATGGTGGAAACACCTCTTACTGAAAACCAACAGGTGACTATCCAGGAAAAATTAAGAAAATGTCTTACCAAAATACAGCATCTCCTACTGAAATATATCTGGTCATACATAAATATGAAGGTCATACTTGAATATAGTAAATGTACATACTGTATACACAACATACATACACTGAGTGGATAAAACATTAAGAACACCTTACTAATATGGAATTACCCCCCTCCCATTTGCCCTCAGAACAGCCTCAATTTGTTGGGGCATGGACTCCACGAGGTGTGGAAAGCGTTCCACAGGGATTCTGGCCCATGTTGACTCCAATGCTTCCCACAGTTGTGTCAAGTTGGCTGGATGTCCTTTGGGTGGTGGACCATTTTTGATACACACGGAAAACTGTTTGAGAGTGAAAAACTTAACAGCATTGCAGTTCTTTACACAAACCGATGAGCCTGGCACCTACTACCATATCCCGGCACTTAAATATTTTGTCTTGCCCATTCACCATCTGAATGGCACACATACACAATCCATGTCTCAATTGTCTCAAGGCGTAAAAATGATATTGTTCACCAGTCTCCTGATTTGAAGTGGATTTAACAAGTTACATCAATAAGGGTTCATATCTTTCACCTGGACTCACCTGGTCAGTCTGTCATGGAAAGAGCAGGTGTTCTTAATGTTTTGTACATTGTTTACAACATTTAAACTACCACAGAGGAAGACAGATGTTGGTTTGTAAATAAAGTTGTATTAGCTCGTCTCATCAGCCAACAGTCACATTGTGCCCTATAGTACAGATTCACTTTTTTTATTTACACATTGGTTTTGAGTTTATTTTTTGTCAGTCTCCACAAAATATAAAGTAGAAAAGCTGTGGGAAACCAACAAACATGAAGCCAGAGGGTCTTTAAGTGGTACAGTTCAGGGACAGGTTGGTACAGTTCAGGGACAGGACAGTACAGTTCAGGGACAGGTTGGTACAGTTCAGGGACAGGTTGGTACAGTTCAGGGACAGGACAGTACAGTTCAGGGACAGGTTGGTACAGCTCAGGGACAGGTTGGTACATTTCAGGGACAGGACGGTACAGTTCAGGGACAGGTTGGTACAGTTCAGGGACAGGACGGTACAGTTCAGGGACAGGAAGGTACAGTTCAGGTACAGGTTGGTACAGTTCAGGGACAGGAAGGTACAGTTCAGGGACAGGAAGGTACAGTTCAGGGACAGGTTGGTACAGTTCAGGGACATGTTGGTACAGTTCAGGGACAGGTTGGTACAGTTCAGGGACAGGTTGGTACAGTTCAGGGACAGGTTGGTACAGTTCAGGGACAGGTTGGTACAGTTCAGGGACAGGACGGTACAGTTCAGGGACAGGTTGGTACAGTTCAGGGACAGGTTGGTACAGTTCAGGGACAGGACAGTACAGTTCAGGGACAGGAAGGTACAGTCAAAGGGTCATCTCATCCATATAAATATAAAGTAGATTCATATTTAGAATCCCTAGAAATAGTCTAGGCATTATATTTATATGATTCCATCACACAGTCATAAGGAGGAAGTGACACACAGCAGAAACACAACCAAAACTCTACTGATAAACAACCTAAAACCATGGATCAACTGAAAAACAACATTCAACCAAAACATCAACTCAAAAACAATCACAATCAACACAATGATCAACACAAATTTATTGCACAAGCCATCCGTCCAAAGAAAATCTAAGTAAATAGATATATAATTAACCCTGGACAAAAAAAATACAAAATATATTGTATAATTCAATATTCAAAAACCGTAATTTCATTGTGTGAAATTAGATTGGAAGAATTAGCAACTCTGATGATCTTTACATGGTCTATTTTCTAATTCCCTCATACCATATCCACACACACACAGTCAGAAGCAAAAGAAAGCAGACAGGACACTAGATCTAGTCCACAGTGGTGCAGCAGTCTGCAGTCCTTCAGCAGCAGTTTAGTCCATCTCCATCCTGATACCTGCCCCTCAGCGTAGCCAGGGCTGAAACAACAGGGAGAACAGAGATACAGGATGACTTTAACTGCACAAACAGTAATATACTACTTTGACTGGTAAGTTACTTTAAGAATAGAAGCACAAATATCATCAACCCTGATCTGACCTAAAACACAGTTTTGACTACACTAAAGCCAGATCTAATATGCTGTATGCTTGTACACTGTGCTTACCAATATGCCTCAAAACTGTAACAGACAATAGGCTAGACATGTCTTCCCCCTTCACATCCTGCCATGTTCCCATTGCTGTAACTGATACTGCAGTCAGGACTAAATGGTCTACATGGGACTACATGGTTGTTGTTGTTTAAGATGCTGATGATATATCTGGATGAGATTATCAATATACAGTGCATTCAGAAAGTATTCAGACCCATTCCCCTTTTCCACGTTGTTACGTTACATCATTATTCTAAAATGGATTAAATACATTTTTTGCCCTCATCAATCTACAAACAATACCCCATAATGACAAAGCAAAAACAGGTTTTTAGACATTTTTGCAAATGTATTAAAACTAAAAAACTGAAATACCTACATAAGTATTCAGACCCTTTGCTATGAGAATTGAAATTGAGCTCAGGTGCATACTGTTTCCATTGATCATCCTTGAGATGTGTCTACAAACGGTGGTAAATTCAATTGATTGGACATGATTTGGGAAGGCACACACCTGTCTATATAAGGTCCCACAGTTGACAGTACATGTCAAAGCAAAAACCAAGCCATGAGGTCAAAGGTATTGTCCGTAGAGCTCCGAGACAGGATTGTGTCGAGGCACAGATCTGGGGAAGGGTACCAAAACATTTCTGCAGCATTGAAGGTCCCCAAGAATACAGTGGCCATCATTCTTGAATGGAAAAAGTTTGGAACCACCAAGATTCTTCTTAAGGCTGGCCGCCCGGCCAAACTGAGCAATCGGGGGAGAAGGGCCTTGGTCAGGGAGGTGACCAAGAACCCGATGGTCACTCTGACAGAGCTCTAAAGATCCTCTGTGGAGATGGGAGAACCTTCCAGAAGGACAACCCGCTTGGAGTTTGCCAAAAGGCACCTAAAGGACTCTCAGAAAATGAGAAACAAGATTCTCTGGTCTGATGAAACCAAGATTGAACTCTTTGGCCTGAATGCCAAGCGTCACGTCTGGAGGAAACCTGGCATCATTTCTACGGTGAAGCATGGTGGTGGCAGCATCATGCTGTGGGGATGTTTTTCAGCGGCAGGGACTGGGACACTAGTCAGGATTGAGGGAAAGATGAACGGGGCAAAGTACAGAGAGATCCTTGATGAAAACCTGCTCCAGAGCGCTCAGGACCTCAGACTGGGGCAAAGGTTCACCTTCCAACAGGACAACGACCGTAAAAACACAGCCAAGACAATGCAGGAGTGGCTTCGGGACAAGTCTCTGAATGTCCTTGAGTGGCCCAGCCAGAGCCCGGACTTGAACCCGACCGAACATCTCTGGAGAAACCTGAAAATAGCTGTGCAGCGATGCTCCCCATCCAACCTGACAGAGCTTGAGAGGATCTGCAGAGAAGAATGGGAGAAACTCCCCAAATACAGGTGTGCCAAGAAGACTCGAGGCTGTAATCGCTGCCAAAGGTGCTTCAACAAAATACTGAGTAAAGGGTCTGAATACTTATGTATTATAACATTTTTAATTCTACAAACCTGTTTTTGCTTTGTCATTATGGGGTATTGTGTGTAGATTGATGAGGAATAAAAACAATATAATCAATTTTAGAATAAGGCTGTAACATAACAAAATGTGGAAAAAGTCAAGGGGTCTGAATCCTTTCTGAATGCACTGTACTATAGACCAAGGTAACGTCTGTAAGCAATTGCTGACATAGCATGGACTGTGTGTGCGTGAGTGTGTCTGTGTGTGGTTGCATATGGCTCGTCATTAGTAGCTTTACGATGAGGAAGAACAGATGCTTACAATTTCTTTTGTATCCTCTTTCTCCAGAACCTGCTGAGCTTGGTCTGGTGGGAACTTGAGCATGGAGGTTATGACTTTAGCCATCGTCTGTGGGAGGGAAGACAAAACACAGAAATGACTTAGCCATCTGACAAAGAAAAGTAGGATACATTTAAATACGCTGTTTCTACCTCGTCCTTCAGTGAAAACTCCTTAAATTTAAACTTTAAGGTGGGGCTGTAGATGTTCGTGAAATCTGATGACAGTTTCACAGCTGAGATTTTGGAGGCAGTGCTCTCAATGGCATGGGTATCCCTCCACATGGTTCCAATGTTTTTCAGTGTCGGGTTTGGATCATGGCAGTGAACCTAGTACTAAATCTCCCTGTCTGTCCAGCCATTCTCCCAGCCCAGATCCAACATGGATGCTCAGTGAACCACTGTCTAGCCATTCACTGACCTCAGATCCACAACTGCAACCCATGACGATCCAACATTGACACTCAGTTAACCCAGCCATTTACCCCGCTCAGATCCTAGATGGCTGCTCAGTGAAACGCTGTCCAGCCAATCACCCCGCTCAGATCCTAGATGGCTGCTTAGTGAAACGTGTCCAGCCAATCACCCAGCTCAGATTGCCCACTACACCCCATACTGATCCAACATGGAGTCTCTAACTCTGTGACCCTCTGCCCTCATCACTATCATATTCCATCAGTTCAGTAAACCCATATCCAGCCATTCACCACCTCAGATCCCTCACTGCAGCCCATTAGGCTCTGTGACCCCCCTGCCCTCACCATCAACTACCCAATCAAATCAGCCTGCTCACAGAGCAATTAACCCCTGTTATCTTCCTCCTAATCAACTCCAGGTCTATATGCGCAGAGTTAGCAGCATGCGTTAGCTATCCCATAAATACTGGGCCTAATCAGAAACAGTGCTGCTGTCTGAGGAAACCAGGGCAACAACCACCCAAAGACCTCTTCTTGTGCTAGAGGAGCTAAACAGTAAGTCTTTAAAATGGCAGCATGTGTCGTGTGTGTGTATATATGTGTCATGGCCGGGCCTCCTTCAGGACATCCTTCCATTCACAGGGAGGCCATAATGATATGGATATGACATCATAAAGCTTAACGGCTTACTGAGGACCTAGGGGGGAACCCCGCTAGCTTTATATGTGCGTGTGATACCCCACTGACTTTAGGACCGTGTCAACTAGCACTGTTAACTCCCATACAGCATCATTCATTAGGCCCTGTGCTAAACAAACACAGAAACACACAATGACTTTTGTATGGGTCTCTAACTGGGTGATGGCTCTGTGTGGGAATGGAGACGTTTATTGGCCTCTCTCCATCCGGCCTCCTTTCCCTCCGTTTTCTACCATCTTCTTCTCCTCCTCTCACCTTTTCATTGAGGGAAAGCAACTGAACACATGTCAACGTATCCTGAGCTGAATAAGAGGGAAGAGGCAACTTATCCTGAGCTGAATAAGAGGGAAGAGGCAACTTATCCTGAGCTGAATAAGAGGGAAGTGTGATACCGGTAGTTATATTTCAAGAAACTGGAATTATGAGCTCATATGTGCACTGTCAATGTTCCCTTATCAGAAAAGGTTACTTTAACCCCCAAGAGTCGATTGATACACCGGTGTGTAAAATCTAAGTAACATAATAAAAATAATCGGTCAAAATCTGTCCGTTTAAGCTAGAGATGTCTGTTGGCATTGGATGCATCCCAGGTGGTAAGGGTAGGTAACAACACATCTGCCACGCTGATCCTCAACACAGGGGCCCCTCAGGGGTGCGTGCTCAGTCCCCTCCTGTACTCCCTGTTCACCCATGACTGCATGGCCAGGCACGACTCCAATACCATCATGAAGTTTGCTGACGACACAAACAGTGGTAGGCCTGATCACCGACAACGATGAGACAGCCTATAGGGAGGAGGTCTGAGACGATTGTGGACTACAGGAAAAGGAGGACCGAGCACACCCCCATTCTCATCGACGGGGCTGTAGTGGAGCAGGTTGAGAGCTTCAAGTTCCTTGGTGCCCACATCACCAACAAACTATCATGGTCCAAACACACCATGAAAGTTGTGAAGAGGGCACGACAAAACCTATTCCCCCTCAGGAGACTGAAAAGATTTGGCATGGGTCCTCAGATCCTCAAAAACGTATACAGCTGCATCATCAACAGCATCCTGACTGATTGCATCACCGGCTGGTATGGCAACTGCTTGGCCTCCGACCGCAAGGCACTTCAGAGGGTAGTGTGTACGGCCCAGTACATCACTGGGGCCAAGCGTCCTGCCATCCAGGACCTCTATACCAGGTGGTGTCAGAGGAAGGCCCTAAAAATTGTCAAAGACTCCAGCCACCATAGTCGTAGACTGTTCTCTCCGCTACCGCACGGCAAGCGGTACCGGAGCGCCAAGTCTAGATCCAAAAGGCTTCTTAACAGCTTCTACCCCCAAGCCATAAGACTCCTGAACAGCTAATCATGGCTACCCAGTCTATTTGCATTGTTCACCCCCTCCTCCACTACGCTGCTGCTACTCTCTGTTTATTATATATGCATTGTCACTTTAACTCTACCAACATGTACATATTACCTCAATTACCTCGACTAACCTGTGCCCCCGTACATTGACTCTGTACCGGTACCCCCTGTATATAGCCTCCCTACTGTTATTTTATTTGACTGCTGCTCTTTAATTATTTAAATGTTTTACTCATCAATTTTTTACTTAACACGTATTTTTCTTAAAACCACATTGTTGGTTAAGGGCTTGTCAGTCAGCATTTCACTGTAAGGTCTACACCTGTTGTATTGGGCACATGTGACAAATAACATTTGATTTTATTTGTTCGGTGAGTTTCTCTGAGCTATAGTAGTAAAGGCCAAAATCTATATTTTATCAAATAACTTTTTTATAAATGTTTTTGAAACCTAAAGGGGTCCTAAAATTCAAAATCAAATAGCTAAATGATCCATAGTATAACAATCTTAAAACAATTCCATATGTCAGCTTAGACCCCCGCCCCCCCACCACCACCACCAATGGCTTAGACTTTTAAGAATGAATGTTAAAAGGTGCATATTGATTATTGATTTATTGATTAAATTACCTTAGTTTCCCGCCCCATCATGTACTCAAATAGGACCTTCCTCAGGTACTCAAACTCTGTGGGTTCTGAGAAGGACTCAGCGCTGGAGTGGCCAGGATCTGGAAGACACAAAACAAAGGTCAGGTTAATGTAGGATAACAGAACACATTAGCTCATAGATAGATAGTCACATTGTCAAACATCAGTAATTCACCTCTATGATGGAGAAGTATTGGATGCTCATTGCTCAACTTCAGAGCTCATGAATAACATTTTCTATTCATATACTGTCCATACTGGGGAAATGGGAAACCTAGTCAGTTGCACATCAGAATGCATTCAACCGAAATGTGTCATCTGCATTTAACACAACCCCTCTAAATCAGAGAGGTGCAGGGGGCTGCCTTAATCAACATCCATGTCATCGGCGCCTGAGGAGCAGTTGTTGTTGGGGGTTAACTGCACACCATTATATATACACACACCATTATACAGTGCATTCGGAAAGTATTCAGACCCCTTCCCTTCTTCCACATTTTGTTACGTTACAACCTTATTCTAAAATGGATTAAATAAATAAATCCTCATTAATCTACACGCAATACTCCATTATGACAAAGCGAAAACAGGTTTAGACATTTAAAAAAAACAGACATACCTTATAAGTATTCAGACCCTTTGCTATGAGACTCGAAATTGAGCTCAGGTGCATCCTGTTTCCATTGATTAACCTTGAGATGTGTCTACAAACTGTGGTAAATTCAATTGATTGGACATGATTTGGAACGGCAACCACCTGTCTATATAAGGTCCCACAGTTGACAGTGCATGTCAGAGCAAAAACCAAGCCATGAGGTCGAAGGAATTGTCCGTAGAGCTCCGAGACAGGATTGTGTCGAGGCACAAAAACATTTCTGCAGCATTGAAGGTCCCCAAGAACACAGTGGCCTCCATCATTCTTAAATGGAAGAAGTTTGGAACCACCAAGACTCTTCCTAGAGCTGGCCGCCCGGCCAAACTGAGGGTCTTGGTCAGGGAGGTGACCAAGAACCTGATGGTCACTCTGACAGAGCTCTAGAGTTCCTCTGTGGAGATGGGAAAACGCTCCAGAAGGACAACCATCTCTGCAGCACTCCACCAATCAGGCCTTTATGGTAGAGTGGCCAGACAGAAGCCACTCCTCAGTAAAAGGCACATGACAGCCTGCTTGGAGTTTGCCAAAAGGCACTTAAAGGACTCTCAAACCATGAGAAACAACATTCTCTGGTCTGATGAAACCAAGATTGAACTCTTTGGCCTGAATGCCAAGCGTCACGTCTGGAGGAAACCTGGCACCATCCCTACGGTGAAGCATGGTGGCGGCAGCATCATGCTGTAGGGATGTTATTCAGCGGCAGGGACTGGGAGACTAGTCAGGATTGAGGGAAAGATGAACGGAGCAAAGTACAGAGAGATCATTGACGAAAACCTGCTCCAGAGCGCTCAGGACCTCAGACTGGGGCGAAGGTTCAAGCTTGTAGCATCATACCCAAGAAAACTTGAGGCTGTAATCGCTGCCAAAGGTGCTTCAACAATGTACTGAGTAAAGAGTCTGAATACTTATGTAAATGTCATATTTCCATTTGCAAAAATGTCTAAAAACCTGTTTTTGCTTTGTCATTATGGGGTATTGTGTGTAGATTGATGAGGAGGAAAATATATATATATGTATACACACACACACAGTGGGGAGAACAAGTATTTGATACACTGCCGATTTTGCAGGTTTTCCTACTTACAAAGCATGTAGAAGTCTGTAATTTTTATCATAGGTACACTTCAACTGTGAGAGACGGAATCTAAAACAAAAATCCAGAAAATCACATTGTATGATTTTTAAGTAATTAATTTGCATTTTATTGCATGACATAAGTATTTGATACATCAGAAAAGCAGAACTTAATATTTGGTACAGAAACCTTTGTTTGCAATTACAGAGATCATACGTTTCCTGTAGGTCTTGACCAGGTTTGCACACATTGTGTCACACCCTGGCTCTGGGACTCTATATGTTGAGCCAGGGTGTGTTCATTCTGTTGTGTTTATTTCTATGTTGGCTAGAGTGACTCCCAATCAGAGGCAACGAGTGTCAGCTGTCGTTGGTTGTCTCTGATTGGGAGCCATATTTAAACTGTCTGTTTTCCCTTTGTGTTTGTGGGTTTTTGTTCCGTGTTGGTCATTGTTACCGTGGACTTCACGAGTCGTTTCTTGTTTTGTTTATTGGTGTCTATTATCACTAAAGATAATAAAGTTAACCATGTTCGTTCATCACGCTGCGCCTTGGTCTATTCAATACGACGCGCGTGACAGAAAAACCCACCAAGTAAGGACCAAGCAGCGTGTCCCGGGGCAGAACTTGGACCGGACATGGGAGGAAGCGCCGGGAGAGGCCCTGGCGAAAGAGGAGCAGCGGCGTCAGCAGTGTCAACGTCGGACAGGCGAGAGGCAACCCCAGAACATTTTTAGGGGGGGGCACACGGCATGGACGACGGGGCTGACGGAGGCAGAAAAGGGGCGGATTCAGAAGGCCACCAGGTTACGGGTACACCGCCCTGTACGTCCTGTGCGGATGCCTCACACAGAGTGTGTGAGGGTAGGCATTCAGCCAGGACGGGTTGTGGCCGCTCTTCACTCCAGGCCTCCTATCCGTCTCCACAGCCCGGTTCGGCCTGTCCCTGCTCCACGCACCAAGCCTACGGGGTGCGTCGCCAGCCCAGTCCGGCCTGTCCCTGCTCCACGCACCAAGTCTACGGCGCGCGTCGCCAGCCCGGCCCGGCCTGTCCCTGCTCCTCGCACCAAGTATACGGTGCGCGTCGCCAGCCCGGCCCGGCCTGTTCCTGCCACTCGCACCAAGTATACGGTGCGCGTCGCCAGCCCGGCCCGGCCTGTTCCTGCCACTCGCACCAAGTATACGGTGCGCGTCGCCAGCCCGGCCCGGCCTGTTCCTGCCACTCGCACCAAGTATACGGTGCGCGTCGCCAGCCCGGCCCGGCCTGTTCCTGCCACTCGCACCAAGTATACGGTGCGCGTCGCCAGCCCGGCCCGGCCTGTTCCTGCCACTCGCACCAAGTCTACGGTGCGCGTCGCCAGCCCGGCCCGGCCTGTTCCTGCCACTCGCACTAAGCCAGGGGTGCGAGACGTCAGCCTGGTAAGGCCCGTTCCTCCTCCACGCACCAAGCCAGGGGTGCGAGTCGTCAGCCTGGTAAGGCCCGTCCCTCCTCCACGCACCAAGCCAGGGGTGCGAGTCGTCAGCCTGGTAAGGCCCGTTCCTCCTCCACGCACCAAGCCAGGGGTGCGAGTCGTCAGCCTGGTAAGGCCCGTTCCTCCTCCACGCACCAGGCCAGGGGTGCGCGTCGTCAGCCTGGTAAGGCCCGTTCCTCCTCCACGCACTAAGCCCGGGGTGCGCGTCGTCAGTCCAGCACAACCCGTGCCTGGGTCACCGGTACCTGGTAAGGTACCGGTCAACTGCTCCACTATGGAGCTGAAGCTAACCGCTCCTGCTAAGTCCAGTTCAGCTCCAGCCAGCGGGGCCAGACTGGACCAGGGGCGCTATGGGGGGTTTATTGGAGGGTGGGTGGCAAGGCCGGAGCCAGAACCGCCGCCGAGGAGGTATGCCCACCCAGCCCTCCCCTGTTTTGTTCAAGTTGAGGCGCGGTCGCAGTCCGCGCCTTTAAGGGGGGGTACTGTCACACCCTGGCTCTGGGACTCTATATGTTGAGCCAGGGTGTGTTCATTCTGTTGTGTTTATTTCTATGTTGGCTAGAGTGACTCCCAATCAGAGGCAACGAGTGTCAGCTGTCGTTGGTTGTCTCTGATTGGGAGCCATATTTAAACTGTCTGTTTTCCCTTTGTGTTTGTGGGTTTTTGTTCCGTGTTGGTCATTGTTACCGTGGACTTCACGAGTCGTTTCTTGTTTTGTTTATTGGTGTCTATTATCACTAAAGATAATAAAGTTAACCTTGTTCGTTCATCACGCTGCGCCTTGGTCTATTCAATACGACGATCGTGACACATTGCAGCAGGGATTTTGGCCCACTCCTCCATACAGACCTTCTCCAGATCCTTCAGGCTTCGGGGCTGTCGCTGGGCAATACGGACTTTCAGCTCCCTCCAAAGATTTTCTATTGGGTTCAGGTCTGGAGACTGGCTAGGCCACTCCATGACCTTGAGATGTTTCTTACAGAGCCACTCCTTAGTTGCCCTGGCTGTGTGTTTCGGGTCGTTGTCATGCTGGAAGACCCAGCCACGACCCATCTTCAATGCTCTTACTGAGGGAAGGAGGTTGTTGGCCAAGATCTCGCGATACATGGCCTCATCCATCCTCCCCTCAATACGGTGCAGTCGTCCTGTCCCCTTTGCAGAAAAGCATCCCCAAAGAATGATGTTTCCACCTCCATGCTTCACGGTTAGGATGGTGTTCTTGGGGTTGTACTCATCCTTCTTCTTCCTCCAAACATGGCGAGTGGAGTTTAGACCAAAAAGCTCTATTTTTGTCTCATCAGACCACATGACCTTCTCCCATTCCTCCTCTGGATCATCCAGATGGTCATTGGCAAACTTCAGATGGGCCTGGACATGCGCTGGCTTGAGCAGGGGGACCTTGCGTGCGCTGCAGGATTTTAATACAAGACGGTGTAGTGTATTACTAATGGTTTTCTTTGAGATTGTGGTCCCAGCTCTCTTCAGGTCATTGACCAGGTCCTGCCGTGTAGTTCTGGGCTGATCCCTCACCTTCCTCATGATCATTGATGCCCCACGAGGTGAGATCTTGCATGGAGCCCCAGACCGAGGGTGATTGACCGTCATCTTGAACTTCTTCCATTTTCTAATAATTGCGCCAACAGTTGTTGCCTTCTCACCAAGCTGCTTGCCTATTGTCCTGTAGCCCATCCCAGCCTTGTGCAGGTCTACAATTTTATCCCTGATGTCCTTACACAGCTCTCTGGTCTTGGCCATTGTGGAGAGGTTGGAGTCTGTTTGATTGAGTGTGTGGACAGGTGTCTTTTAAACAGGTAACGAGTTCAAACAGGTGCAGTTAATACAGGTAATGAGTGGAGAACAGGAGGGCTTCTTAAAGA